ATCCTACTATATTAGAAACAAAAACCTCCCTTTCAAACACCTCATATGATTGCCACGTGGCATGTAGAAAGTACTAAATTGCCCTTTTGTCTAACCATAACTAAATTACTAAATTTCCCTTTGCACTTTACGTGACACGTTTTTTTTTATTTTATTTTTTCTTTATGTTTCATTCAACTAGAGTGGTTTTTTAAATTGAATTGATCAATTAGGTTTTTGTTACAAAGTGCCAACTTTGTTTTAAGCGTATACCCTTCGGATGAAGCTTATTACAAAACTATTAAAAATCACCAAAACTAAGTATTGATTTGGCACGACCAATGGAGAACATCAATAAATCATCTTACTAATATTTAAATTTATTAGGATGCTTTTATATTTTATCTAACATTTACTTTAACACATTTATTCGATTAAAGCTATTTATATTTAATAAGTAACACTTATAAAACATTTCTAAAACATACATGGCGAAATACAATTTCTTTTTTTTTTGTGTGTGAAATACAAATATTTCTATGATCACACTTATAAAACATTTCTAAATCCTTCAAACATTTCCAAAATATATCGCTACAAATACAAAATTTTATTTTTTTTCAAATATAAATATTTCTAAGATCTACAGATAGACTGGGCCAGGGTCGCGCATTGCGCGACCAGACATCACTAGTATATATATAATACGATATATATATATATATCCGTCTCAATATCTCAAAGGCAAGTGATATTGTCAGGTCAATTTTTAGCTTTCAGAGTAAAATTTGTGTTCATTTTCAAAACTGCCCTCATAAAGCATTTCTTTTTGTTGCCCCCGATCTCTCTTCTTCATCTCTTCTCCTGTTATGCCGTCATTTTTTTCCAGCAAAAGAAAATAGTTTGTGATCTTAGTTTTTCTTAAATTAACCGAAACTACCTTGAGATTCCTTAGCAATGCAGACAATTATTAGTCCTTTTCGGCAAACTTTGAGTTTTCAATGTTTGTTTGCTCCCTATGTCTTTAAAAAAAAAATTAACAAAACTTGCAAAATCAAATCCCAAGATCTCACTGCAGAATATCTAACTTTGAATTACTTTTGATTAACAATCGAATAAAAACAAAACTAAATATTTACCTATCCAACGCTTTCCTCCTAATTGTTGCCTAACAAAAGTCACTCTAAATTATCTCTAAAAATTGTAGAGAAAAACTCTATTAATCACAATGATGTGAGATCTCAGTACTTCGATTCGATTGCCAAATTATGTTTTTGTTGGGTTGGGATAAAAGGAATGATGTTAACAAAGCCATGATGAGATGGGGCAAGGGAGAGCACCGCAAAGAAATAGCCAAAACGGATTGAGCATTTTGAGATTTGGGAGAAATAATGGAAAAATTAATGAGAGATATCCGAGAGTGAATAAAAAAATAAAAATAAATATTTCACTAAATAAGGACATTTCTGTAAAGAAACACATATTTTACTCTGGAGGCTAAAACTTGCCATGACAATATCATTTGCCTATCTGAAAATGATTAGATTCTTATTTAAATGAAACATTGCATAACATTTTTCTTACTTTATGCCTACATGCTAATGAAAATTGCATAATTCCCGATAAATCTACTGTGTCTAGCTACCTGAAGTATTTGCTTAAATTAAGAGTAATAATGTGTACTACCACCAATATGATTCTTTCCAGAATTACTATTTTCATTTTAAATATTGGTCCGACCAGACACATAAATGCCAAATTAAATACTCCCTCAGTCCCAAAATTATTGTTCAGTTTGGGTTTTCACTTTTAGTTCATTTTATACTTTAAATAAAAATTCAAACTGGACAATAATTTTGGAACAGAAGTAGTACTTTCAAATAAAAATTTTCTGAAATTATTCATGATTTTTCATTCATTTCAAAAATCATCCATCATTTTCACCAAGAAAAAAAAAAAAAAAAACAGCAATTATACAGAGATGGGTCTTCCACTCTTCCTCTTCTCGTTATATACATATATGTAGTTTACTCTCTTAATCATTGATAGATAGTGGACCGGGAGTTACGGTTAACCCCTTCCATGTTTTTTTTAGTAGTAGATGTACACTGAATTTTTAATTAAAAAAAATTATACATTGAACTTAAACTTGCTTTAAAAGTAGAGTGAGTTTTTTTTTTTTGGGGTTAATTTCGCGCATTTTTTGTGAAATTTTATTATGAATTTTGTTATCGGTGTCTATGTAGAAGGTTTCAACCCCGCTTAATGGCCTTAAATATCTGGCGTGCTTTTTAAAACCCTTCAAGAAATTGCAAAGGCAAGTGGAAGACTATTTTCTTTCGCTTTGTCTTCTAATCTCATGATGTGATTTCCCCTTTTTGTAATTAGCAAATAACTTCACGCTTTGATGTTGATGTTTGAATTATATGGGTCATTGTTGACTATTACATATTACTACTATATGTGTTCCTTTTTTGGTACCGCATGGTCCACATCAATAATATGAACTATAGATATTTGGAGACCCTTTTAATCTAATGTGGTTGCTTTGCTAGACCAAAACTTTAGGTATGAACCTATGATAATTGGTCTAAGCATTTGTGGGCGAGTGTATTTTAACTTAATCTTTCAGGAACTTGTTAGAGGCTGATAGCCAAAAGTTATTCACTTCGTCTTGAAACTATTGTTTATTTGGACTTTTATTTTCAGTTGAAATTGTATTGAATAAAAATCTAAATAGAAAAATTATTTTAAGATTGAGAGAGTAATAAAAATCACAAACGTGTTCGGTGTTGCTTTTTTTTTTTTTGGTTTAAAATTTCACGTGTCTTAGATATAACTCTTTGCAAGGCCTCCATAAACATGTAATAATTTGTTAAAAGTTGGTATTGTTAAGAAACGACATCAATCACATTCGTTAAAAACAGACCTTATTTTTGGGAGATTTTTTTCCCCACTAAACACTGATAATAACATATGTCTTATCACCCAACAGAAATCTACGACTTCTTCTTATCCACGAAAGGATAAATAACAGATGTTATTCTTTTTACTTCCCGTTTTTCTAGTTCGGGATACATCATGTATATAAGAAAATTGGACGACTTACTTATTCGAGTTCACGACATGGGTTACCATCTTTTTTTTTGTCACCTTAATTTGTATTTTTGTAGTAATGAACAATTGAACATGATAGAGGACCCATATCCATGAGTATAAAAAATACTGTATTTGTTTAAAAAATACAGTTCATATTAAGTTTTGAAATTTATATCAAAATTTAATTTGGACTAATTTTTTCTTGAAACAAATTAGTGCAAATTTGTACTAATAATTTTTGTATAAATTTCGAAATTCAGTATGCACTATTTTTTAAGGAACAGATTGAATACTAGTAAATGGTAACGTGATGCCCGTGCATTTACGTCGGCGGTAATCGGGAAAGTAAAAAATGTTCCGGCAAGTAATCAATGAAATGCGGCTGGATCCAGATGTGTTGGAATCAAAATGACCAGTTAAAACATGAGACGTGGCCCCTGCTCTCCCTTACTGTTTGTAGTTCGGAAATTAAAATTCTTCAGAAAGCACCAGATTTGTAGGAGACGTATGGACCAATCCCATTCGATAGTGGTTTGAAAAATGAAGAAAAATTCTTAGTATTAATAGTATTTGTCAATTTAGAACTTAGAGAAGAGCAACTTGTTCTTAACGAAACCAGGTTTCGTTTACGACTCTGCAATGTGTATCACAATTCACATAAATAATTAATTAATGAACCCCCCCCCCCCCAAAAAAAAAATCTATAGTAAAAATAAAAATACATTTAGATAAAAAAATACATAATTAACATGATTCACACTGAGGTACTATAATTTAATAATAACCCAAAGAAAGGTAGGCTAATTTCAACTTTTAATTTCAAGGACAAAGAAAAGAAGCAAAAGAAAATGTTGTAATTTCTTCTTATTGAAGCGATCTAAACACTTGGTCAAAAGTAAAGCATCAAGTTGTGTGATGCACCATTTCAAGTTGGGTAATTCTACTAATCGTTCAACTAATTTTTTTTTTTTTCACCAGGTTCGCAAGTTTTAAAGTTCTGATTTTCAACTTTTTACACTTTTGTTTATTTTGTAAATTTTTTTATGATTTTAAAAGCTCCCAATTGGTCCATTACATTCTGATAAAAAGTAATTTAAGTTTTAGTCCTGCAAAAACACAAATACATAGTTCAGTCAACATTCATTGCTCCTGTTCCTGGCCAAAATAATGAATCCAAAAATAGTAGTATGATCCACTATTTATCGAATCATAAAATATTTTAGGGTGAACTACATCATCTCCCCCCCATAAAATAGCGGATTGTTGATGTTAAACACGTCCAAAGTGAAAATTATTGTTATTTCTTCCGTCTCGAAATGACTGCTGAACTAAAATATTGAGCAAATTACATTTTACCCCCTGAGTTTTGGCCACTTAATCATGGCCCCCTTGAGTTTTTCTAATGCTACCGATACCCCCTTGTATGATGATGTGAACTTACAAAATACACCCTGATGACCGGAATTCAATGTGATATAATGATGTCCCGTTAAAACGTATGTTAATAGACATTAATGCCCTTCTTGAGAAATAGTTTTCCTCAAACCTATATCTATTACCACCGATATTTTTATTAATATAAACACTACATAAAAGATTCTATTTTTACCCCCTTTTTTTAAGGGATTGTAAATTTCTTTTTTTATTTTTTATTTTTATTCTCTCTCAGTTATCTTTAAATTATCCATGTAAGCGCTATGCAGCCATAGTTGATTCCTCCTAAATTACAGATTTCTCGTGGAGATAAGGATGGAGAGAAAAGATAGTTTTTATAAAACTTAAACGAGTATAATGACAGTATTTTGGTTGTTTAGCCCATTTTTATAATTTTTAAATATTTTTTGCTTGAGTCCGGCTTGGGCTTTTTAGTCATTTCAAGCATTTCCGACATTGACTTTATGTTTCACCCTGTCAAGGGGAATATCAGTAGTATTAGAAAAACTCAAGGGGGACATGATTAAGTGACCAAAAATCAGGGGGTAAAATATAATTTGCTCAATATTTTAGTTCACCAGTCATTTCGAGATGGAAGAAATAACAATAATTTTCACTTTGGACGTGTTTAACATCAACAATCCGCTCCTAGATATAAAAATGAAAAGGAATGAAAATTCACTAGTAACCATCCCACGGTATCATTGGTAAACTCAGTGCAAGTCACACCCAACTTCTTTCTTTGGTTTGGTTGGCCACTTCTTTTTCATCCTTTTCCCATGGTAATAACTTTACATTCTTCCCTGAAATCACACGATTCACAACCCCCCTCTTGACCGCTCAATTCATCCCTATTATTATGCCTTTCATTTGGAAAACACCATCCTTCAAAAATAAATGTGGCAAAAATAAACACAGCAACCATTTTGAAAACCGAAAAATATTACTCTCTCCGTCCCATAATTATTGTCCAGTTTTAGTTTTCATTTTTAGTTCAAATTGCACTAAAAATGAAATCTTAAACTGGACAATAATTTTAGGACAAAGGAAGTATTATAATTTTCATCTACTAATATCTGGTTACTTTATCCTAGTGTAATAATTTAGCCCTCTCCACATGCTTCCTTATTAATATCTGATTCCTTATCCTTGTTTTAAAAAAATCATTGCCTACATTGTCAAAGTCGCAACAATTATTTTCACAAAACAAATATATCATAAAACCTAATTTAAAATTCAAAGCGTAATCAACCTTCCTACTTTCCTTTTTCATTTAATATTTTTTTTTCTGGCTCTTTTTAAAAACAAAAAAAAAAGTTGAAAATAGGAATGCCAAAAAAAATCGACAAGACAGACGATCTTACCCTTTTCTTCCCCTTTATAAATCCACCCCCCATCTCACTCTGCCAAAAAGAAAAAACACTTCATCCCACATCTTCCCCAGTTAACTCCAAACATGGCGACTCTTTCGTTCTTCTTCCTTCTTTCCATCTTATCTTTCTCTTCGGCTTTGGACATGTCCATCGTGAATTACGACCTCAAAAGCTGGAGGTCCGATGAGGAAGTCAAGGCCCTGTACGAGGAATGGCTGGTGAAACACGGCAAATCCTACAACGGGTTAGGCGAGAAAGACAAGAGGTTCGATGTGTTTAAGGATAATCTCAGGTACATCGATGAGCAAAACAGCTTGCCTGACCGGAGCTACCAGCTCGGGTTGAACCGGTTTGCTGATTTGACCAACGAGGAGTACCGGTCTAAGTACTTGGGAACCCGGATTGATCCCAAGAGGAGGCTAGCCAAGAAGCCCAGCAACCGGTACCTTCCCAAACTCGGCGATGAGTTGCCGGATTCCGTTGACTGGAGAAAATCCGGCGCCGTTGCTCCGGTCAAAGATCAAGGAAGCTGTGGTATGTACTTACTCTGTTTTCACTTCTCATCATCAAAGCATCTTTCTTTAATTATTACTATTATTCTTTTCATTTTCTCTCACTTAAGGTATCCTATATGCGATTCCACCATTTTTTTTCTTGGAATCCAAGCTGAAAGTTTATGAAATTTACAAAGTAGTAGTGAAAGATCAAGATCGGGAAAGATGGGGTGGATATTTTGGTACTGTTAGGGGCAAATTGGTCAAATGAGTTGTTGGATTGATGTGAACTATGATTATTTTAAATTCCATTGGAGCAGCAGTTTGAACCAATTAAACTATGTTTTCGTGGGATTAGATTATTCGTTGTTGGATGATAATTTTTGTCGGCTGGTAAGATGCCACGAAGCTACAGCTACTCTGGAAATATCCCAATTGGTCACTCTTTATTTCATTTCCTCACTTGTTTGTATCAATAATATCTTGCACAACATGTTGGCCCATCATCATCTTGTACAATTTTTTTTTTCTTTATTTCATTGCATCAAGATTCAATCTTTATTATTTGGTTGTTCTATGTTATTGATTTTTTGCATCACGGTTAACATGATATATATATCTGTAATCTAAATATTTTATTAATGATTACGGATAAATGACATCTTAATCACTATGCAACGCGCACCTTCCAAAGTTCTGGGATCGATTCTTAACATATTGCCTTGGCCGATTAACAGCCTTTTTGTATCAACTTAACCTGTAGTTAGTAGCAGTAATCCATTTTAGTATATACTTCTCCAATAGAATTGACATGGAATCTACTGGTTCTATATGGTTATACAACTTCTAACTTCTGGGCCATGGTATCTTGATTCTTCTCTACATCATGGGTGACGTTGCCTTCATTTGGCCTTTAATCTGACAGATATTTTTTTTTTCCCGAAATCTCTCATTTTCATGATAGCTATTTATTTGGTCCCACCATATTTATCTACAGAAAGAAGAAGGAATAGTAATAAACGTCAATCATGACCCACTTAAGATGACTTTTATGCAACCAATTAGTATGTCATAGTAATGTTAACCACTATGTGGAAAGTAACTAGTATTTTTTTTGGGCCCTTTTGCTGAACTTGTTTACACTTTGATTTGAAATGAAGGGAGTTGCTGGGCTTTCTCAACTGTTGCATCGGTTGAAGGAATCAATAAGATAGTTACCGGCGATCTGATCTCATTGTCGGAACAAGAACTGGTGGATTGTGACAAGACTTACAATGAAGGATGCAATGGAGGTCTTATGGACTATGCTTTTGAGTTCATCATCCAAAATGGCGGAATTGACACTGAAGATGACTATCCTTACAGAGGCAGAGACATGAGATGTGATACATACAGGGTAACTTGTAGTTATTGAATTCCCCTGACCTTAGAAATGGTTATTCTGATTCAGCTAAAGATTATAGATTCCGAACCAATATTCTTTTTTTTTTTGTGTGTGTGTGTTTATGCATTGCAGAAAAATGCCAAGGTGGTTACTATTGATGGCTATGAAGATGTACAAGCTGGGGATGAGGCAGCATTGAAAACCGCTGTCGCATCACAGCCAGTCAGTGTTGCCATTGAAGGCTCTAGCAGAGATTTCCAGCTCTACTACAAGGTAAATTTTTAGCTTCTTACATTTAATAGGAGCCTACACTTTGAAAGTTAGTATTTAAGCAACTACAATCAATTCAACAATTTCAGCAAAAAGCTATACCCTGTAACTAACATAATCTTTATGTCAGGACTAAACTTAGTCACTTTGGTGCTGATCTGCAACTTGTTGTTTCTTTTAATTCAGGGTGTATTTACTGGAAAATGTGGTACACAATTGGACCATGGTGTGAATGTTGTTGGATATGGTACAGACAATGGTAAAGATTACTGGATTGTTAGGAATTCATGGGGTGCCTCATGGGGAGAAAACGGTTACATCAGAATGGAAAGAAATGTGAAGTTGCCAACAGGGCTTTGTGGAATCACCTCTGAGCCATCTTACCCAGTTAAGAATGGTAAGAATCCCCCAAATCCTGGCCCTTCTCCACCATCTCCAATCAAGCCTCCTGCTGTCTGTGATGATTACTATGAATGCCCGGAGGACAACACCTGCTGCTGCGTGTATGAGTATGGTAACTACTGCCTTGAATGGGGATGCTGCCCACTCGAAGGTGCAACCTGCTGCGAAGATCATTACAGTTGCTGCCCACATGAGTACCCAGTTTGCAATGTCCAAGCCGGCACTTGCTCAGTTGTAAGTACACAATGTCAAAACCATTTCCTCAATTAATACTTTTTCATTCTCTAGCTGATAAGTCTTGTTTCTAAAACTAGATTGCTAAAAATTGTGCTGGCTTGTTAATGCAGAGCAAGAACAACCCTCTTGGAGTGAAGGTGATGAAGCACATGCTGGCCAGACCAATTAAGAGTTTTGAAACAGAAGGGAAGGCGAGCAGCTCGTGAGAAGTCTCACTTTATCTTTGAGTGGTGGAAAGGGAAGAGGATGCTAAGATTTCCACCATGGCATCCAAATCAATCCCTTCTTTGTTGAAGCGCTGCCCGATATCTTGAGTCCGCCACTGAAGATAACACAGGAGCATATCAAGTGTCCATTGAAAAAACAAAGATGATTTGGCAAAAATCATCTGTATATAACGCTTTACATTTCATGGTACTGTACTACTGTATTTGAACATGACATTGATCTCTGCCTAGCTGCAGTCGCATTTGTTTATAAGCACTTTAAGAAACTTTCAGTATTTCTAAAAAGAATTCCACACGGACTACGCTCCACGGTGATGTAATATGATTATGTTTATGCTCTTTGTATTCAATCACTGACGGTAATTATTCTTCTTCTTCATGTTAAGCTTCATGTTTATGGTTTTTCCTCTTTGCATGCCCTCAGTCTCGCAATGTGATTATTATGCAAGAGACTATAATTAGTAGAGAGATTTGTGCATGACACTGTAGAGGTCGAGAGAAATCTTGCTTGCTTTAGAAAGCCTCTTTTGAAATGACGACGAAAATCCTTTTACTAGCACCATCAACTTTGATGAATCTAGGTAAATTGTAATGGCTACCAAGATTTGAAACACTAAACCGAAAAACTGGAGGCGACCACAAGGAATATCAATTGGCACAAAATTACTCCTTGTCAGATGAACGGATGAATTTTGATGATTGATGAGCAACAATCCAAGCATTAAAAGCGTGAAAATGTTCTTTGTGGATGGAAGAGTGAGTGGTTTTTAAGAGATGCAGAGGGATGGATGGAAGGAGTCTGAGTGTTTTGAGTTGGAAAGGAGAGCCTCAAAAAAAAAAAAAAAAAAAAGAAAAGGTTGGAAAGGAAGGAGATAAGCATGTCAACTACAATTCACTTTGTCGAGGTTTTCGTCTGGATGTAATATCGACGGATAAGCCGACGAGCAATTCACATTTAATCTCATCCGTCGACGTAATCGTCGGGATAAATATCTGGATGACTATATCGATTCTCTTCGACCTTTTTTTCACTTCGTCAATCTACTATTCTCGATGAGTTAGTCGATCAACCTTAATTTTAGTTCATCAATTTTTTTTTGTCGAACTTTTAAGATTATGTCTCAGTCGATAATATTTTTTTACAATCTTAGTATCATTAGTCGACTAATTTATTGGTATAATGCTCTTGATGAACAAGGCATGATTTTTTTTTTCTTCTAACTTTTCGATTCTTCTTGGTTGACATGTGTCATCTGGATTGCAAAAATAGTTTTGTTAACTTGACAAAGAGCTTGATGACCAAGTCGAAAGAATTTTTCTTCAATCTTGACGACAAGGCGATAGCCTTTTGTACAACCATAATTGCATCAATCATCTTTGCGACAGAAGAGGAAGTTTGATGAGTAAGTCGACAACATTTTTTTGAAGACGTTTCCCTCAGGATTAATTTCACGTCTTTCACCATTTACTTTGTCTATTTTTATTTTTTATTTTTATATGAATTGCAACAAAGTTTTTTAATCTCTTACATTGTGGTAGTCCACCTTCACTTGACAATCCATTTACTTTGTCTATAAACAAGTTTTAAGGTTACTTTCATTTCATTGCCTTTATCATATCACCAACGATTAACTCTTCACATTTTTCCTCAACCTTCATTCATTTATTGACTTTGTTGTCGAACTTGACTAGTCCACAACATTCTTCCCGAAACTTTTAAGTTGGGAGAGAGAATGATCCTCAAAACTTCACTGATTCATTATAAATAGTCTCACATAATAAGATTAAGGTTAAGTTGTGTTAGACAATCTGGTCGTGATGCTATTGTTACTATTTTATATTTGCCACCAAAAAAGGAAAAGAAAATGTACTATATTATGATTCCCCGTCTCTGATTTTACAATTAACTATCAAACTTCGAAAAAGATTTTGTTTTATTTAATCTTTTATTTTATCAAACTTTGAAATTTTGATTGTTTATTAGTATGATTGAATTTGGATCATTAGAATTCAATGTCATGTTAAACGTCTCTATTATTTTCATGAGACCATCTTGCAAGCTCAGCCCAAAACGACTTTGGGGATGGGTTTCGGGACCATCAAATTCCAATATGTCAATGTTGATGGATTGATCTTTCTCGCGCCTCATTCTGATCATTGATCATGCTTTTTGAGCTACAACAATTGATTAAAAAAAAAAACAATTGACCAAAAACAATAACAGTAAGATTACAGGAAATGCAACTTAAAGCGATGAGCTATAGTTTTGTATTTGTTTTTTAAGCACCTAAACTAGAGTTGGCAAGAATACCTACGGACTTACTATTCATCCAAATCCATTGGACTTTAGTCCATAAATGTCCATCCATTTAAAATGTTAGGTTTGGGTAGATCTGGATAAAAAGTTGTTTAAAAGGGTATGGGTAGTCTACGGTTACCCATCAGGTAATCTATTAGATTTTCAAACTATACAATCATCATTTAAGTAGGTCATGACCCGACCCAACCCAACCCATTTAAGGAAGGGTTATATACGAACTGGGTCATGACGAGTTGGCGTGGGTTGTGAGTCAACTATTTTACTATAAAATTTTTACCTGAGTGTTGATCCATACATAAAATTACTTTTTTTAACAATGGTATATTTTATAACTTAATGGACTTCAAATTTTTACATTTACGGCAAGTATAACTGGGTCAGCCCATGCATCGAGGTGGGTCGACCCAATAACCACGTCATGATACACGAGTCAAATTTTTATTTTTTGTTCAAATAAATTTTACACTTGTATTTTCTAACTCCTTTAAGTTCAACTTTTACGTTTTGATTCATATTAAACTGGGTCGATCCATGAGTCATGTCGAATCGACCCAATAACCGAACCACGGTACATGAATCGAATTTCGATTTTTTTAAAAATAAAGTACAACTATGGATTTTTACTTTGGAGACTAATAATTATATTTTCTACTAAGTTTTACCGGTCGACCCATAGATCGATCCATGAATCGAGTTGGGTCAATGCAATAACCGGCCGCGATACGCGGGTCGATTTTTTTATTTTTTGTTCAAAGAAACATTTACACTTTGTATTTTCTCACTCATTGAAATTCAATTTTCATGTTTCGAGCCATATTAAATTGGGTCGATCCACGGATCGTATTGGGTCGACCAAGTAATTGGACCACGGTACGTGTATCGTATTTTAATTTTTTTAAAAAATAAAGTACAATCATGAAATTTAAGTTAAGAGACTAATAATTTTTATGTTTTCTATCAGGTTTTACCAGATCGACCAATGGATCAAACTGGATCGACCTATGAATCGAGCTGGGTCAATCCATTAACCGGGTCACGATAAGGGGGCGATTTTTTTTTTTTTTTTTTGGTTCAAATAAAACTTATATTTTTTTTTCAAAATCGTTGAACTTCAAATTTTCACGTTTCAAGCAATAGTTAACTGGGTCGGGTTGGGTCGACCTAATAACCGGGCCACGATATATGGGTCTAATTTTTATTTTTTTTGGTTAAATAAAGTATAAACATGAATTTTAATATAGGAGAATAATAAGTTTTATGTTTCACATCAAGTTTTAACGGGTCGATCCAACATTTAGGTCACATTTGAATTTTTGTTCAAATAAAATATGCACTTGTATTTCTAACTTATTGGACTCATACTATTCATATTGGTGTGAAATAATTAATTTATTATTTCGTTTTATTTAGTTGGTCTCATATTTATACATTGGTAACATATGTATTTATGTTAAAAACTCCACTAAATGTATTTATAGATATCCATGGGTATGTATTCATGGATATCCATGGATACCTAGGTATTTAATACCCATCCATTTAAGTCCACTAAATTTAATAGATATGGATGCGTATTTACCCGTTAAACTAATAACCATTAAAAATCAATCTCAAGTAGTCCAAATCGGCCCATTTGCCAGCTTAAACCTAAACTATTAAAGGATAAAGATCGTCATGGAAGTAGAAGCAAATGCATAATGTCTTCTATTTAACAATTTCTTATACACACTTCCAATGATTCAAAAATCTGATACTCCCTCCGTCCTATAATTATTGTCCACTTTGCCCAAAAAATTTTGTCCCAAAATTATTGTTCAATTTGACTTTTTATGGATCAAGTTACACATTTGTCCTTAGTAAAAAACATTATCCATAAAATCTTAGTGGTTAAACAATTACTTATGTAGAGGTATATCCGGTTGTTTAAGGTAAAATATAGTTAAGTTTGACCAAAAATAAAATTTTTCATTTTAGTAAAAGTGGAGAATAATTATGGGACGGAGGGAGTATCAATTTTTTTTTTTTTTTTTTTTATCGAGACTTTGATCAAATCAAGCAAAAAAGAGGTAAGAATCGGGCTCTCAACGTATTAAAAGTGTACGTTCCAATCCCTCATTGAATTGACTATAGTAAAAAGGAATGCGATTATGCGATTGATGAAAAGAATACAATTTGCCGAAAAAAACACATACACAATTACGTCTAGTGGGGTGGTTTGGGAACTATATTGTAGGCAGGGAAAACCGAAATAGAGAACGCAATTAGTGGAAGCGGTAGTTACAAGTGGGTAAGTAGGGAGCAAGGTTATGCAATATACCCTCAATTTGGCAACATACAATGGTTGTAGTAGTATTCCCTCTTGTCTTTACAAAGTATTTTAATTTTGTCTTGAGTTTCATTTAGAATATTTTTCTAATTAGAATAAAAACTTTAAAAATATTTCATACTAATTAAAAAAACATTACGAATGTAAAAATATATTTTTAAGATTTTTTTTCCAAATAAAAAGATATCTTAAATTAAATTTAGGATGAAATCAAAATGCCTTATAACAAGGAGCGGAGGAGTATTACATTGAAAGCACTGTTGTTTGTTACAACTGATGATTGTGATGTGTGGGTTCTTTGTACTTAACAACAATTGAAAATGACATTATTTTCTTTTCTTCTTCTTCTTCTTTTTTTTGGCAGAGTTTAGGGTACGGCAACAGTAAAGAAGATTTTTAATACTAATTCTAAATAGTGTTTGTGTTGAAAAAAACTACAAGATATTTCCAATTGGCCCCAACTCCATTAAATTCAGCTTCTTCTGTATTTGTTCATTTCTAAACCAGTTTCGTACAATAAGACAATATCATCCTCGTTCCTATCGCGGCATATATCAATCAACTCTAAATCTTCTGACCCAATATATTAGATTCCTCATTAATGTTAGTTATATGTGCATTTGTCTTACATAATCACATGCAGATTCAAATCACAACTTAGTACAGTACGTGTTTCCCTTGTCTCATTGTAAACATGATTATTGTTTTTTGACGAGACAAAATAACTTATAACGAATGGACACTTTGACACCTTGAATTAAGATGTTAACGCGACTAATAGGAAAATAAATTTTGATCAAGAATTTGAGCACAACTGTAGTTGTTACTCAAAAGATCATCTTTTTTTATGTTTGGAATGCAAATGGATTATTGCATATACATTCAACTTATCAACTAGGTAAGATATACGCATTGCACTTAGCATAAGACTTTCTTGATATCATTATAGATAACAATGAATGAGCATTATATATACTGTATACTCTCAATTGAGGTTCAAAGCACTCTCTTCTTCTGATTGCATTCTGAACGTCCGTTTCGGCAACCTACATTCGACTCCTAAACTATGGCTTAATGATCCTGTTGGTTTGGCTTCTTGAGTTGCCTCTAATGCACAAGAACTCTCCATTTTAGCATCGATTTTTCGAGCTTCTAAACCCGCGGCGCATTCACTAACATTGACATTAACAACCTGCCCGGAAGTTTTCATGCCGGGCTTTTCTTTCTCTAACCTTGCATTTTCATTAGCATCAATGGCGTTATACGATTGCGAAATGGAAGGAATCTTGGTAGTGTAAGTTGATCCGGCAGGATTGCAAGCTGTAGAAGGCAAAAGAGGTGGAATGGACCATAAGGCTGGTGGTGGTGGTCCAGTGGTAGTATTACTGATGCCAGTATATGGGCTGTGGTGGTACCCTAAGTTGATAGACTTATTGACTTGGCAAAAATCATCTGGTCTATCACAATAAAGTCTTTTTGATCCAATCAGTTGGCGTTTATCATCAACCTCAGCTCCAAAAGCCGCTGTTTCATTGGCTTCAATGGCGATTTGGGTTGCATTTAGGTTGGTCCTGAATGTATGTGTGTTCTGCTGGATTGGTAAATATGGTCTTTGTATAGCATAGATTCCTGGTATGCTTTGCAAGTAACTGAATTTCCTCTGGATGCTTATTACCAAGTTAAGATCTTCATTTACCTAAGTGATGAATTAAACTTTTGCTGACTAAATCTTGTGGATGAATAAGGCTGAATGACAGTTTTTTTAAGGGAAGGAAAATAACATGTACCTTATGAAAAGAGCCTAGTTGAATTAAGCCTTCTCTTACTGCTATAACTGCAATTGTCTGACAAGAAAGTGATATATTTTAACATGATCTGATTTCAGTGGAGTTGCAGAAGTACTGTCTAACTTTAAACTAACCTGAATGCCAGAACTGAATTGAGCGTCCCATGCTCTGGGTTGCTGTTTATGATGATCATCAAGTAAAACAAATCAAGTTAAGAAAAGGGAAAAATCATGATCAAATTCAAAAGGCCAGTTCATCATAATAGAGGAAAAGATCAATGCTGAAAGAACTGAAATTTTTTTGCTTACTGGATCAATAGAAACACTCCAAGAAGGAACGAAGTTTGGGTCATTTTCATTTTGACAATCTCTGTATACCCATTTGTGACTATTATCTGAAGCAACTTTCCCCACCAATCTGTCAGAATGATCAATTAAGAGCTTACATATACAAGAACCCTCTTTTTAAACAGCAGCCATGAACTAAACTATGCTTACCCTTCTCCAAAGTTATAAACTTCATGAGACATTTTGAAGAAAATATCAGCTCCAAACCTTCCTTTTACATATCCACTTCCAGCCCGTTCACATTCACAAAAATCACAGAACCCATCTTCCCAAACAAGTATCCTGATAAAATCAATATGGTGACATTAACTGAATTCACCACAAAAAAGTAATCATAGCAATTTCTCAAATAACACTCACCAGTTCCTTTTGTTTCCTTTAGCCCGATCAAGTATGCTTCCTCCATGATCCCACCTGCAAGAAAAGCCAAACATTGCAACAGATTAAACTTCAAAATCAGGGAGGGAGTCAATAAGTAGTCAAACTAAAGTAAAAATGCTTACTTTGGAGGAGGATAATTCCTTGGAAGGATCCTCCAGAAAACAGAATATACCCACTTAGAAGAAGAACTGGAAGAAGAAGAAGAAGAGTTGGAAGAAGAATCTGATGAATTAGTCGTAGGATTACATAAGCTTCTGAGAGTGTGCTGTAAGAGACAGTTCATCATGGGAAGTCCACCAGCATCCATTGTCCAAAAAGACACAGAGAAACTGACTCAGAGCAGCAAACAAAAGCTATTTAAGCTCCAATTGCAATTAAAATGAAAAGAGAACAACAACTTGAGGTCTGCTTAAATACCCACGCGTGTGGAGGGAGTGTGAATAACAACAACAACAACATATTGCAAAATTCAACTTCTTCTTTTCCCCTTCTTTCTTTCTATTTATTTTTTGTAGGGTAGGAGGAATCATTCATATATATGTACGCTGTTAAATTTTTGAAAGGATAAATAGTTGCCCTTTGGAGGAAGGAACAAGAATAGTGAGTTTGGGGGACTCATCATAGCCAATTTGCCAAACAGTGAGTTGGTTAAATGACAAGGGTCCAAAAAAACAGAAAGCTGAAAGTTCAAGCATCTTTATCAAACCATGATGATGTGCTTGTGTAAAGTTGTGAAAATGTATGGTATAGTATACAACAAAATTAGGTGCTAATCACACCATGGACGACAAAATTACCAAATTAATCACACATTCAAGTGTCGGGTTCTAGCAGTTGAGAAGGACAAAATCAAAAGTTTTTGAAAGTTCCCTAGTATAATTATCTTAATTTAGAACTTCTAATGTTCCACGCATTAGCGGTTTTGTTATGTAACGGTAATGAGAGACGATACTGCAATTCTAATTTTTATAGTATGTGAAAATCAATGTATAAGGTACCACAATCACGCCAATCACTAATCTAAAACACTTGGGCTGTAATGGTAGCATGAAAACTTTGACAAGACAGAACAGCTGACAAGGTTTTTTCAGGTCCCTTTGAACCTTGTAGGCTTTTGTAGCCCAGCCACTTCATTTGGGGGAGGACCAAGAAGAAGATAAAGTCAGTCCCATCAGATCAGTGAAAGTAAAGGGTTTTTGAAACAGCATCAGAATCAAGATTTGCACATATCTAAACTGTATGATTTTCTCAAAATTTTGGCATGATTGATCGGGCCCTGGTGAATTACACACTACACAGAGTTTCTTCCAAATAACTTTCCTAGAAGTTGGAAGACAAAAGCCGTGACTTGTTCTGAAATGTTTTTTCATGATAGTGGAAATTTTAATCGATTACTACGAACTGTGTTCAATGTTCATTTGGAGTAGGAATCATAAGTTGCATCTGCTGCAACCTATCATGAACATCCCTTCTGTGGCCGGAAAAGGTGGGCACATGTCTATTACTTGAAATGGAAAAATATTCATTTTCTGTACTCTGTTCTTTCATTAAAGTGATTTGATATCTCACATTATTATCATTTTAAGCCTGACTTGTTTGTTCAGTCTATTAATCAAAGCACGAAATCACATCATGAACCTTAATTAGCCAGGAAAAAAACCTCGTCATTTCAAGATCCGAGCTTTTAGGCCATTACTGGTGTCAAACATCAAGCAGTTGGCAACCAAAACACGCGAACTCAATACAGATGAATGGCGGCCATGGCCACATACATACAGGAATGTTCTAACAGGGCTCTTTCTTCTAACCCTTTCTTGTTTTTGTCCAGAAGAAATGAAAAAACCAATCAATCATCAACCTAAATGCGTATGCGGAACGATAATCTAACCACTGTTTTCTCCACTGAATGAAAGAGTCTTAAAGTCCAGCTGCAGAATCTGAACAATGTTTAAGGTTTACTTGAATGTCTTAACTGGTACTTTTGCAAAAATGTAAGTGGGAATAAAAGACATTAAACATGGTGGGAAAAAAAAATAATGAAAGATCATGCAAGTTCTTCCTAAAAATTCAATAGAAGGATCTTAAAGAATCATCTTAAATCTTATGAGAAGGGCTACTTGACAGATTGGTATGTAGTTGCAGTGGTCCTCTTTCTCCCCATAGGGGGTCGAGTGGTCATATCATCCCACGCCGTGCACTAAATCTTGTCCCAAGTCCATGATCAAGATTGATTTGGAATTATGTCTCTTCCTTCACAGCCAGACACACCTCTTGACCCTCCTATTTTTCTCCTTGTCTTAACATGTCAAGATGTTGATCTTAGCTTGCATATCCGGGCCATTTCGCTTCTATTCCATTTGTATTTCTGGGGGGTTTTTTTTTCTCCTTTTTGATCTATGTCCTTTTGAAATTAAACCACGTATTTTTGTATTCTTGTGTGCATGATGTTGAGTAGAATGGAGGAGTTGTTAATCGTGAAAAGCAAAGAATCCGGGTGAGAAACGAAAAAAGTGTTGGAAACTGCATTGCTTTCGTAGGTAACAAACACCGGCTGCCTTTGAGAACTGGATGGCCTCGGATTAAAGGACATGATTCCATCACCGAAAGTTTAAAAAACCTTGTGGTCCATCATTCAATCTTTGAGCAACTGGCAAAAATCTTGTTGAATTGTGGAAGGCTACTCATGGACCTTTTAAATCATAATTTCATCAGCTACTTCTATCAAAAAGTTGAGCATCCATTTTATATGTGCACTGGACAGTGTTATCTGAAGATGATCCTGTTCTAATAATCGACCCAACTATAAATATCTGTATCCGGAAAACCGCTAATCCTACACAGCCAAGTAGCAAATGGAGAAAGGAAGAAGTATTCGAAGCTTATATGTAGGAGTAGTACTAATAAGTAATAACAGTGAAGACTGAAGAGCAAACTTGATTCCATTTATTTGTTTTCCATTCTCTGAACTTGCAGTTTTCGTCGTTATAAGAAATTCAAGTTCCAGAAATGATGCAATAAATAACTAAAAAGGCAGAAGTGAATCATTCTCACTGCAGAACCCACTTGATGACAGTAGAGACAGAAGGTATACTTAGTACTAAGACATACTTTCAGCTAAGTGTAGATGACAAAGCCCCATGGGAAGCAGGTATGAAAACTTGACATCTCACAATTGTTGGGCAACAGGGTATATTGACACTTTCAAAGAGGACAGCCAAGGGCTGGCCCTTCTAGTCCCCCCCCAATTATCAAGTATTCTACCATCTTGCCTTATCCTTTGGGTTAGTAGTTTCAACTAGACTTGTCATAGGGGATGTACAATACCTCTATAACGTCGTGCATACTTCTAATCTAACATCCATCTTTTTTCCTTAAACCATATGCCTAAAAAGCAATAAACATATTAGGTTAACAGACTTCCACCGGAAAAGGAAAAAGATTTATAAAAAAACTCATCATTGCATAGCTCTACCAGACAACAGTAAAATAATAAAGAGTTCCATCTTGAAGGAATTGTCAGGGAGCAAATAAAAATCAAGGAGTTGGCTCGGAGATAAAACAACATCAACAGCCAAAAGTGAGGATGGAAAGACTGACCTGACGTTGTCCTGTTGAGGACAGTGGAAAAAGTGGAATGTGGAGTATTGCTAAGTGGAATGCAAGGATTACTTTAATTTTCATTAGGCATCTCGAAATATTACAACACATGGAAAGGCTTAAAATTTCAGCATTTACAGTGGCATGTAAATGAAGGCTATCTGTTAAAAGTGTAGTGTTCTCGAACATAGAGTACCAAGACAGGGCACCACGAAACTACTACTGTCCCTGACAGCAAAAAATGAGGTACATAGGTTCTTTAAGAAAAAACCAGGAAGCTATTCGGGAGATTCTACCCTCCCCTAATAAAACCTAATACATCGGGCATCTCCTTTGCATTACCTTAAAAGCTTAGGATTTGGAAACGCTAGTGTCATCTGAGGAAACAGCTTTCTTCCCATTGTAACGCTGAGCAGAAAAGAACAATGTATCAATTACTCCAGAGATTTAAAAGAAAATAGACAGCGAGATACTAGAGATTTAAAAGAAAATAGACAGCGAGATACTAGAACACAAAGTATGACATCAAACTAGCTACATAACTCTCAAAGTATCGATTAAGCATTTACCTGCTTGCCAAAGGTGAATGGAACATATTTGTATTTAACCATGTGCATTATCTGCCTTTTCATTGTTGAAACAAAAAGCACCAACCAATAGAACAATAAAATCGGCCAAAAGACAGGAACATCGAATGCGCTGAAGAATGTCAACACAAAAGCAATAAAGAAGGCTTTTGTGAGCGAATGCCTGAAATTCAGAGAAAATAAAGGTTATGCCTCCATTTTAAAGTAAAGCGATAGAGCATCATTGAGTAGAGCTCTACAAAGACCAAACTGTGAAGTCACTCCAAAAACAAAAATAAGAAAAATAAGTCTGCGCAAAGCTTTCATATATGGAGATCAAACAAGAGCACAAATGCTGTTAAAATGAAGCAATCATCGAAAATGCAAAATTAGTAACAAGCCAAGACAAATACTCCAATATTTGAGTGAAGAAAGCTGAACACGATGATTCATTGAAGGATCATAGTAAGTTGGTGTTAAACAAACAGAAATGAGAAAAACTGTAATCAACCTGATCATTTATGAGCAAAATTAAGAAGCCACTTTCTATTACCATGCACAAAAAAGGAAGGGGTGTAAGAAGGCAAGTGCAAAAGCAGAGCAAGAGATATGAGCAATGTTATCCCACAATATCCTTCAGTAAACAAGTCAGGCATAGATAACCGCGACTAAGAAATTCTGGAATGACTACATATGAAAAATTCACCCATGACAATACACCATCAACTGATCATTGAAATATAAGAAAGATGAGTTAAAGGATATAGAACAAGCTAAATCAAGATTCCTAATATCCACGGTGGATTCCTAAACAGATGCTATATCTTATATTGCCCAATTCATTTACCTAATAAATTTTACCAAAAAATCATGTCAACCAGCTAGCCCAAAATCAAATCTTTGCAAGGCATTTCCATCCCCAAATCTCAGGACATTCAAAATCAAATCTTCACAAACAACAAATCTCAGGACATTCAAAATCAAATCTTCACAAACAAAAACGAGAAGAACAACAATAATAACAAGAATTAAATGGGACATAAATATCCTCCTACCAAAATTTGAATTCGGGCAGGCGACGAACGAAGGGTCGGAACTCGTCGGAGCCGCGGGTAGGCAAAGAGGGCCCATCGTCGGTGGAAAGCAATTCGTTAATCTCGGGATCCACCTGGGGGGAAAGGAAAGCGATCAAAAGCTGCAAGATGTAGATGCCGAGTCCATAGGTGATGATGTAGAATCCCTGAACAAAGTAGACGCGCAAGGCGTAAATGAAGGCGATCGCCCCAAGAAAAAGCCACCGATTGAGCACATGCGGGGTGGATTTATCAAGGAGGTGTTGGTAACGCTGGGTCGCCGTGAAAACCCATTGCGTTACGACGGAGGAAGCCGATGAGTCGGACTCTACGCCGCCGGCTCCACCGACATTCATCGTTATAAAAAATATATCTTTATGTTTGATAATTTTTTTGGAATCTTTTTTCGTTCCCCGGTTATTTCTGTTTATTATACTTTGCGGGAAGTTGGGGGCTTTTGGGATATGTAGTTCAGTTGCAAATTTCTGAACTGGGCTTTTGCGTTCTGTTTTTTCAAAATTGGTTGGGCTATTCTGAGACTTGGTGCGGGGCCAACAAGCCCACTAATAGCTTTTTTCAATCTCTTTTTCTTTTCTTGAAAAAAAGAAAAAACTTTCCAAAAATTACCGTTCTATATTGCTTCCCTAAATTAAAGTATGGAAATGAAATGGCTTACGAGAGGAAAAGGCATTGCCTCTCCCTTGCCAACAAGGTTAGATCCATATTAACACCGGAAATTGGTCAAGCAATCCGAGCAAACTGGTCAAGTAGGTAGATAGACTAACAGTTCAGAAATTTTTAGAGTAAGAGGCGTACGCATAAAGTCTCTTTTTTATAATAGTATTTACCTCTTTATAGACCATATATGTAATCATTTGGGTGTTAGATGATGTGGGTTCAGTAATAAGATGCAAACAAAGATCAAGGGTGCTGGATGGGATGATAAAGGTGCGGAATGAAGGGGGTGAAGTCAATACTCAAATCTCATTAGGAGCCATGGGAGAAAAATGCTAACAAAATTTTCCTTTGATCAAAGATGGCTTTCATACAGACCTTAAGTTTTGCTAACCTGTAAAATTAACCTATGCTTTAAAATTTAAAGGTTCTCTGGGTTCTTTCATTGTTCATTTCAAAATTAAAGGGGTAGTATGAGTTGGAATTTTTTTTTATTTTTATTTTTTTGAAGTCAAATGGGAGGTTTGATCTGCTTGAGATTCCACCAGACAGGCAAGTTGATTTATTAAAAAAGAAGATGCAGTGTTACAATAACAGCAGGATCTTATTGTTTGTAGTATGAACTTGACTTCGATCTCATCATCATCATCATCTTCAATAATGAAAAAATTGGATAATTGGAATAAACGACCCGTAAAATTTTGATCAACTGTACAATATAGTAGAAGATAAGCATTTTCCTCTCTGGTGATCATTTTCTTTTTCACTTTGATTTAGCAGTATAACTAAATACTCAAAAGTCAAAACGATCTACTACTATTCCACATGGTGTGGGATTGACCAAGTTGCTAATAGAATAGGAGAGGCGAATTTTTAAGAAGTTGACAAACTAATAGTATTATACAAAGACTTCGTTATACAATGGTCGTCCATCACTCCATCTAAGGCCCTTTTTTGAAGTCTGATTTCTTAGTTGTCATTATACGAGTTCGGCGATTCTAAGTCAACTGTCAAATAAATCTGGTTAAAAACTTGGAACCCTACACGCTTTTTCCAAACACAAAATATTCACACATAAGACATTAACACAAGTCATCATCAATCAAGAAGAAAAATTCAGGGTACTGTACAATTTGGATTCAATCCATTGCTTCATTTTGATCATCATCATGGTGGGAGCTCCTCTTCCGGCAACTGGAAATCAACCACAGCCTTATGGAGGTATGATTAAAAAAAAAAACAAAAAAAGCAATCAATAATCTTCTTCAAGTTTTTCATCCTTTCAGCATTTTGATTGAACTAACTTTTCCGGCTCTATTTGTGGTTGTTCTTTTACATTCTCAGGCAACTCTGATCCGTCGAAAAATCAGAACCCGCCGGCACAAATGTACGCCACTCCAAATGCTACCATTTCTACACTTTTGCCATACAATGGAATGGCTCCCTCAGATGCTAATCTTTACCAAGGACCGTATCCAAACCCTCCGGCTAATCCATCAGCTCCGGCTACTGCTAATCCTTCGCCGTACGGTTTGACTCCCCCGGCGTACTCTTCCCCTCCTCAATCATCCACCTATCCACCACCGCCTCCTCAGCCAGCCGCCCCAGCATCTCCGTATATTCCGCCTCCATCATCCGGCTACCCTCCAACGCCAGCACAGCCAGCTCCCTATTCCGGCCAACAGCCTCCTCAATCATCTTGCTATCCTCCGGCGCCAAGGCCGCCGTCTGCGTACACTCCGCCACAATCATCCGGGTATCCTCCGGCGCCAACGCCGCCTTCTCCGTACACTCCGCCGCAATCATCAGGCTATCCTCCGGCGCCAACGCCGCCTTCTCCGTACACTCCGCCCCAATCATCCGGGTACCCTCCGACGCCAACGCCACCGTCTCCATACACTCCGCCGCAATCATCCGGGTACCCTCCGGCGCCAACGCCGCCGTCTCCATACACTCCACCGCCACAATCATCCGGCTACCCGCCATCGTCAACTTATCCGCCGCAGTCAACTCCGTCTACAGCTGGATTCCCACAGCAGAGCCCACCAGCAGGGTATCCTCCTCAGCCGCCTCCCGGTGCTCCAAGCGGTTATCCGGCAGGTAAATTATTCATTACTCTGCTGATTGTATTCAAATTTTGTAGGAAAATGGAAGTGAAATTAATTTGTTGATAATTTTTGGATGCAGTTCCTGGTGGATCATATCCGCCGGCTGGATCATACCCGCCACCGCCAGGGCCTTACTGATCAAACTTCCTTCAGATGCATCTTCACTTTTACGGTTCATTTTCCTTTTTTCCGCAATTTCAGTAATGGCAATTGGCCATCAATTTCAATCGGCTATTTCTGTTTAAAGAGGCTTTGTTAGCACTTACGATTTGTTGTCACTGGTTTTTTGTTTGTTTTCTCTCTTCTGAAATGCAATTCGAAGTTGCATAACATTTTCATGTACAGCGAACGAATTAATCAAATTTGGTGGCTCTCTTTCCCTTTCCATAGATCTCTTTGTATTCCTTGTCGAGTTGTGACTTCTATTGTTCTGCACTGACTGGGGAAAAAAAGACGTTATACTTTTTTCGATCTTATGTTTACTAAAATTGTGCCTTAAAGGACTAGACGGAGTTTAATCTCAAATTAAAAAGTGTGGAGTCAATTGTGCAAGATTTCTGAACTCTCTAATTCTAAATGCCTTTGACATGGTAAAGTTCTAATCATCTACGGATGAAAATATGTAAGACCATGAAAAATGCTAAAACATTTTCTGGTACAACCAGCTGGTGACTATGCAAATCATATATGGCTCTAAAGTTTTGCAATCTGGTGAACCAAGTCTTCCAAAACTTGTCACGCAGTTGCATTTGATAGTTTTGTGCGCTTAGGTTTATAGTTTCATCGCGTTTTTCGTATACTATCTTAACTTTGTCCCTTCCGAGTTTTTTTTTAAAAAATACAAAATAAAATTGTGTTTCATGCTTATATCCACTACAAATTACTCCCTTCGGTCCTTATTATAAGGGATTTTTACTTTTCATACGTTTCACCTCGTATGTATTTTCTTGACTCAAAAAATCTTAAAAATATATTATCATATTCGTTGTTGTTCTCTTAATTGTTATGAAATATTTTCAAGATTTTTTCGTCAATAAAATATGAGTATTATGTGAAATTTAGAACAAATCAAAATGTCTTATATTAAGGACCGAAGAGAGTATAATTCAACTGGGCAAAAGGAAAAATGGAAATCTAATCATCCACCTGAAAAAGAAAAAAATTTGGATGTATGTGTTATGGTGTTGTTAAACTTTTCCGTAGCTTTCCCTCAAAAATTATTGTTTTACAACATGTGAATAGTATTTACTTAAATCAATCCAAATTTTTTGAATGCTTCATATTTAATCGCAAATCAAATAAAGATGTTTGCTGGAATTGTTGATGTCACACATTTACATATTGTGTTAGTTTCATTTTTATTATTATTGGTATAATTTTATATATTTAGAAGATAGATTATATCCTTCTCTATTGCACTAAAAAAAAAGAAAAAAGTGATTGAAAGGTTGTAATTAAACATTTTTGTTTTCGTATATGCTTACTAACAATTCCAGATGAAAGCATGGTCCAAAGAAACAAAAAAAATTATAGATTTAGGAGAATGAAAACAATAAAATTAAAATTCAACAACTTTTTTAAAAAAAGGATTTTAAAAATTTTAAATTACAGAAATTAATAAAACTTAATACTACGTACTATTTAAAAGAAAAATGGAAAAAAATAAAAAGAAAAGGTGAAAATCATTAACAGCTTCCCGCACATCGAAGTCTCCCGAGTTCCAAAATCAGGGGTTCGCTTATACAGGGACACCAACAAATCATAGTTCGTTGGATGTTCTAAATCTCAACTCTCAAGGAAGGAGAAAACCCTCTTCCTTTTACTCCTCCCTAATCAATCGTAGCTGGTAATTTTTCGATCAAATTAAGGGGGTAGTTCGAAATCTGAAGCAAGTTGAAACAATGGTTGAAGCCAAGTTTTTGGGGCTGGACTTTAGCTGCGCTTTGGGATCGCTCGTCAATGGAGAAATCCCAGAAAAGGACTGTTTACTTCCCTTGATTTCGAAGGTTTTGGGATACTGTATAGTACTCGCCTCCACCACTGTCAAACTCCCTCAGGTCAATTTACTCTTCCTACCTTTTTTGCGACAGCTCAGTAAATTTCTGCCCATTGGATCGTTGGTAGCCTTTTATGTCTTGATTTGTTTCCAATTTAAGATTTGCCTTTTCTTATGTTTCATTGGTGGGAATTTGTTCTAATGGTTTATTTATTTGTTTATTTTTGCTGTTTGTTGTGATTATTAGCTATATTTGTGATCCATCACGAACACATTCCATTGACAGTAGTAGGTACATGCAATCTGATTAGTTATGATTGCTTGGTAGCTATTTTGAAGTATCTAAACTTTTCGTTCCATTGTGGTTATTCTAAATTGAGGTTTTCGGTCGAAACCTTTGAGCCGAATCATGTATTGCTCAAAAAGAAATTGGGCTTCTCTCGGCTGTAGATGTTGATCTATTTGTTGGTGAGAGAAGTTTCATAGGGTTATTGGTGAAACTGTTCCATGATTAGACTGTAGACGGTTGGGTGTGGGTCTTTAGGCATAGGATTTTCTCAGTCGGGCGAGGTTAATTAGCCTTATCAAAGGCATTATGCCTGAATGCCCCGGAACAACAGTAGACCATTATGCTGCTGCAGTTTCTGAGCTGTTTATTCTTTGCTTGTGTGCAAGAATTTGTGTCCATCAATTATGCAGATATGACTAACATTGCCATTTTCCTACATTGTAGATACTTAAAATCATTTCTCATCGGAGTGTGAGAGGTCTTAGTGTCGTAGCCTTTGAACTTGAAGTAATTGGCTATACAATTGCCCTGGCGTATTGTCTTCACAAAGGGCTTCCATTTTCAGCTTATGGGGAGTTATTTTTCCTTTTGATACAAGGTATAATTACAGTGTAGTCATGCAGCTTGTATTTCAAACTTGTCATTATCTTCTTGGTGTTTTGTAGTGTGTTTCCTTTTTTACTTGACATTAATGATTAACTCAGAGGCTCTTACACTCAAATTTTCCTCTTATGTAGCTATAATATTGGTTGCTGTCATCTACTATTTTTCTCAACCTGTCGGAACCAAGACATGGATCAGAGCACTAGTGTATCTTACATGCTACTCTGCAACATTATGTTCCTAATTTCATCAAGATATACTGGTGAACTTTATTTTTTTCACCTTTTAATTAGTTGCTTATAGAAAGGTGTTTCCTTCACTTTCTGTCACAGGTATTGTGCTGTAGCGCCAACTCTTTTGGCTGGTCAAATTGATCCCATGCTTTTTGAAGCTCTATATGTGAGTAGCCGCTTTTAATTGATTGTCTTAACTTAGTTTATATTTTTCTGCTCTTGCTATAGCTTCTTCGTTTTGTTCTGAAAGCATAGCTCTGGGCATCTCAGCCTCTTAAAAATTGGCTTTGGTTCAGATAAAATCAGGTTTGTGATTATCCTTAAACTCTAAAATTGCTTTGAACACTTTGTTCCAGGCATCGCAGCACGCAATTTTCTTCTTTGCCAGGGTCCCACAAATTGTGGAGAATTTTAAGGTGAACTCTATTTCGAACATTCCTATTTAATTATTCTGAGTTCTCAGTCTTCATTTTCGATTAGTTTTGGACCTTTTGTTTTGTTTTGTTTTGTTTTTTTTGTTGGGGGAGGGGGTAGTTAGTCTTGATGGTGGATTCAGCAATTCTTCTGACGCTTGGGAGGCTTTTTTTGTCTAGCATCCTGTATATGAAAGCTATGAGAAGTAATAACAAAGTGAATTGCTTTATTAAGTTTGCATATCTAATTCGATACAAAATTGCTATGCATATGTTTGATACAGTTAATTGATTCATGACTACTATTTAATTGTCAGGTCAAGACTGCAGTCTTGAGTATGTTGTAATATTAATGCCATAACACTTGAGAGCGTCGAGTTGGCAACGATTTATGAGTTTCACGATCCTTTCATGGCATTCTCTGGTTGCTTATTGTAAATTGTTGGCATGCAGAACGGCAGCACTGGGGAGCTCAGCTTTTTGACTTCTTTGATGAATTTTGGCGGTTCATTAGGTAAATATTAAATTTCGGTTGAGCTATAGTTGCTAGTTAATGGATTCTTGAGATGGTCTCAGTAATTGTTCCTTTCTACTTTTGCAGTTAGAGTTTTTACAAGCCTCCAGGAAAAGGCTCCAATGAGTGGTATCTTTCCCTTAACTTTCATTCTTGTTGTGCTTGGTTTGTTTTTTTATGATTTCACCAATGGTTGTGCTATGATTTCTTTGTTTACATTTTCGTCCGCCTATTGATTATCTTGTTTTTTTGCAGTTGTTCTGGGCTCAGCCATTGGTGTTGCGACCAATGGTGCCATTCTAAGTCAGATAATCATATACTGGAATGCTCAACCAAAGAAAGATAAGAAAACGGACTAGAAGATGTGGCCCTTCCAGAATTCCAGCCTTACTTCAATTACTTGTTTATCAACTAGAGTTTATTGTTACAGTCATCTTTTACGGTTTGAAAAGGTAGCATACCCTTAAATGTTATTCATTTCAAATAGAAAACAAGGTAGCATACCCTAAAAGTGTTATTCTTCCTAACATGATCAAAATGTGATTTTTGCTTATACAGATAAGTTACCGATACATGATATTCTGTAAGAAGCTGACAAAATATCCTAAATAGATTGCGTTATAATACACTTGCTTGCCATCGAGTGTTTTGTGTCTGTGTTGCTATAGGTGTTAACCCCCTGCAGCAAAGCAAACGCTACCCTAATTGAAGTCGCTGATTATTAAACGTGTTGAAGATTTTGAATATTGATTGCAGAAGCTAGCCTAATTGAAATCACTGATGACTAAAATTTGAATATTGGTTGAAGACGAGTGCAGCGTTTCTGTCAATTTTTTCCGTTACCTTCTATTTTATGCTCTCACGCCATCCAAAGAATCACCAGCTAACTTCCCGCACATGAGACAACAAGGACGTTCGGCCTATCCTTTTTGAATATTGGTTGAGACGAGAATAGCGTTCTGTCAATTTTTTTCGTTACCTTTTATTATATACTCTCACTATTCAAAGAAGTTGTGATCACGCTAACTTCCCGCACACGAGACAACAATGACTGCCTTCGGCCTATCCCTTCTGGTATCATATTTCAGTTTCCCTGCCGGGCGGAACAGACCTATCCCTTCTTGTATCATATTTCAGTTTCCCTGCCGGGTGGAACAGAAAGGAATGGTATATACACGAGATCTGTATGTTCGGTTCTTCTCGTTTCTTAGTACAATACAAATTTACAGATGCTAGTACAGTAGTCTTGTAGGACATCTTAACTTCCAAGGGGGAGAAATTATAAGGGAATCCAGGGGAAAGATCTCTTGGTGTCCCGGGCTGAGGGACAGAAGATTCAAAAGCCTGTCACAGGTAAAGGAATTGTCCTGGTTGAGGAGCCTTTTTGGACTTTGGATCCAATGCTCCATTGTGACATACTAACAGATTTGCAGTTGGATCCAATGAAATATCTACCAATTCTGGCAAACTAGTGTTACATCAAGTGGAGGGAATATGCGCCCTCTGTACACATTCCAAAATAAGTATGACTAACATCGACTCAGAAGGCAGATTGACCCACCCAACACTTATCTTTCAGATGCTACAAACCATGGAGAAGACAATAATGAGTTTAATTATCAGAGTTCCAGTGACCTATTAAGGCAGATGTTCCAGTATGCATTATTAACTAAGTCACAGCTCCGGATGACTAGAAACCAGTTTAACATATAAATTTTACAGCTGCGCATGCCTGTTCTGCTAATCAACAGTTCAGAAAGTCGGGGCACCCCAAATCGGTGGCAGATTTCTGGCTGGGAGTGGGGGCGAATTCTAATGGAATACCAACACTAGGATGTACAGCTTTTCAAGCAACTCAATGACAGTTAAAGCAACTTGCTTCTATTCCCGATTCCCGGGCATACGACTATAACTCAATGACAGGAAAGCTAGAGCATCATGAAGAATGGAAACATTTGACAACTAAAATCTAGTTATGTAATATAGTCAATAATGGCAGTCACAATCGAAGTCCTAGAGCAGACATTGACAATGAGAATTACAGACATCCATGGCAAGTGCAGAAACCTTGAATTGAGAAATGACACATCTATCTCCATTTTTTCATATAGGATGTACAGCTTTTCAACACTAGGATGTACAGCTAAGCAACTCAATGACAGTTCAAGCAGCTTGCTTCTATTCCTGATGCTCGGGCATGCGACTATAACTCAATGACAGGAAAGCTAGAGCATCATGAAGAATGGAACATTTGACAACTAAAGTCTAGTTATGTCAATAATGGCAGTCACAAGCAAAGTCCAAGAGCAGACATTGAAAATGAGAATCACAGACATCCATGGCTAAGAGCAGAAACCTTGACTTGAGAAATGACACATCTATCTCCATTTTTCCACATAGTATGATTTAACAGTTACAAAAACGATGAAGGATGTCTTAAATAACCAGACGTTTCGCAAATCCATTTACGATCAATGATGGCCATGCCGAGACTATTGTAGCAACATTTGCCTGATTATAGAACAAACGTTGCATGTATTGGTAAATATGAACATGCAGAAGACAAATCCCAGTTATGAATATTTCGATGATTGGACAAATGGCACCGAAAAGCACACGAAACTACAAAGAAAAATATCCATGATCGAATAATAGAAAATAGAAGTAATCAGACCAAGGGTGTTCTTGTCTTCCCACTCCAGAGCCTGATTAACTAGTTATCTAATTGTTTCGTGAGCTACCACCAAAGCTTGACCATCTTCTGAACGTGCAAGCAACTAGTGATCTCCCAGTCAATAATCTTGCCTTGAAAGATGTTGACCTACCAGATGCAATATTAGGCCTCTCATTACGGCCTGCAACTCGTAGATTCTCGTGAACACCTTCCTGGGCACCACTATCGCTAGCACTGGCATCCAAATTTTCTGGTTCAGGGGCATCCAAATTAACAGCAAGTGATTCTCTAGTGGCCCTCAACCATTCTGCGCCCTCAGAAGTCACCGCCCTGCACTTCTTAACCTTCACTTTGACCAAATTAGGACATCCACCAGCTAATGCTTCCATACCATGATCTGACACAGGACAACTCTTTATACAAAGCTTCCTCAATGCAACACAATTTCGAGCAATACAAGAAATCTCCTCATCGCCAACAGTCTCACTCCCACACAAGGCTAATCTCTCCAATTTTTGGCAACCTGTTGCCAATTTCTCTAAACTAACTTTAGTGGGGTTGACACCAATGAGCACTAATTCTTGCAAATTGGGACAATTCTTTGCTACAGCAATCAACCCTTCGTCACTTATCCTATTAGTTTTCCACCCATCAATATGAAGTTTCCTTAAAAGCTTACAATGTTCAGATATAGACTTGAGCCCATCATTTGTACATTCAGGAGTTTTAACCAAATGCAAAATTTCAAGGTTCAGACAATTTGAAAGTGCAACAAGTCCAGGATCACTCACCTGGAGCCTCTCTAAATGGACCTCCACCAACCCAGTCACCCGATCAGCAATCACTTCAAGAAGCTTATCCCAATCCCCAGAGCACCTGAACAGCTTTAAGGTTCTCAAATTCTTAGCTCCGATGATTAAGGGACCAAAACACTGGCCATTATAAAGCTCCTTCAAACAAATAACCCTTAAGGAGGACGCAGCCGCTCCAGGGCCGATCGGCTCCGCCGCCGCCCCGTCGGTGATGCCGCGCAAGCGTTTGATTGATAATTCCTCAAGTGCAGGACAATTGTTCAACACAAAGTTCATCCCTTTAGCCCCAAAATTGCAGGACCCACAAGAGAGTTTCTTCAGATTCTTACAGTTCTTGGAGAATTCGCCAATCCCGGCATCAGTGAGCTCCCGGCAGGCACGAAGCTTCAATCGCGTGAGCTTGCGGCACCTCAGAGAGATCAAAACGAGCGCGTCGTCACTTATGCTGGCAGATCTACGGTCGCATTTCAAGGCGAGCTTGGTCACAGCATCGAATCGCGTGAAGATCGAGGAGATGAACCCAGAAAGCTCCCACTGGGCGTTGAGGGACAGACGGTGGCGGCTCTGTCCCTCGACGAGAAGCCAACGCCGACAAACCAACGAGCAGTTTTTCCGGTCGCCGGAGCTCAAGCACTGGAAGACACAGGCCAAGCACTCATCCGGGAGGTTGTTGATAAAGTCGGGTAAGTCGCCCGGGATGATGACATCACCCGGGTCGCCGTCGTCGCCGTCGGCGGTGGAGGGAAACTTCATATCGGTGGGGATGAAGAGGGGCGTGGATCTAGGCTTATAGTGGCGAAAGGAAAAGGATTGAGGTCTAACGGCGGAAGAAGCTGATTGGCCCATAAAATTCCACGGCGAAGCGCTAAGTGAGGGAGAGCCGACGGACAAGCTCAAATCTTTTTTTAGTATCACTGATAAAATCTAATCTCTACATACCCAAAACACACTTTTTATCATTTTCTCTAATTTATTTTTAAAAGGTCCAATGGAGCTTTCCAATTACAGTGCATTTTACGCTAATAAAGCTGCCAATTTCTTCTTCTCCTCTCCTTTTAGGGGAGGAGCGGACCTGAAATTGTTTCTATTTTCGTTTTTGTCCTTTATTTATGATTTAGGGCCTCTATTGTTGAATTTTTAAAGCGCGTGTGGATAAAATTAAGTAGAAAATTGAAAAAAGCCTTCCATTGTAAAATCTGGGCTTTTGTTAGTGATTTTGAAGTTTTGTCTGCCTTGAAAAAAACACTAGTCCATATCGAATCTGATATCGTGAATCTTGTGATATTTCTCGATTCTTATTAGAAGGTTTTTTGATTTGTTATAAATTTTATTCAGTATATTTTTTGAATTAAAAGTAAAATTTTAAAAATATTTTATTATAGGTTTTTCGATTTGTTATAAATTTCATTTAGTATGTTTTTCGAATTAAAAGTAAAATCTTAAAAATATTAAATGCGATTAAATACGAAAATATATTTTTGAGATTTTATTTTTAATTACAAGAATATACTAAATGAAATTTAAGATAAATCAAAATGCCCTATAATAAAGACATAAAGGAGTATTAAAAAATGCATTGTACGATTATAGGATCTCGTTTGAAGTATAATAATTAAAATTCGAACTACTAGTAGCTCTAATCCGCAAGATAAAGAATACTGCATATTTCTAAAGATTTTGAATATGTGTGTATGTAATAGGGCTAAAACTTTTTAATCAAAAATTTTGTCAATTATGCGCGCTTAATATTGCATCGATCGCTTTGCATAATTGTGGCGGCTTGCAAGGCAAATGTATTACGAGTAGGAATTTGTTAAAAGAGGTGTATACAATTTTTTTTTTTTAATTTTTTTGGTTGGGCTGAATTAGAATTTGCAATCATCACATTTTAGTGTAAAAATACCTTTTTTCAATTAAGTTCTCATCATATTGGGAGACAAAATATTTATGTTTTCCCAACCAAAATAGAAAAATCTTTTTTTTTCCCTTTACAAAAGAATTAATGATCTTATAGTCTACCAAATTTCCATGATTTTTGTCTCTTTTTTTGGTCTTCAACTAGGATTACGTTGTAATGGGATCTCAAAATTCTCAAACGCGCACACGTAAAATGCTCACGCTAATACATCATCTCATAATAATCTCATTGAATTTTATAGTTTTAATTTTTGTTGGCGCAATAATTCACAATTTCATTCAAAGCTACTGATCCCATGTGGTTTATGTGAGATGGCTTGATCTGCATGATTGTAACAATGTTTGACGTCTTCGAATATACGCATCTCTCTCAATCCTTAGTAACATGCTTCATGTTGCCTCTAATGATTTTTTGAATAGAATCATGAAAACAAAAAATGATTGAGACATCAATTAATCAATCGTAATTGTAAGATTTTGCACCGTCTCGTTATTATAATTAGTAATGATTCCCATTAAGTAAGGAAATGTATTGCCTTACATAACATATGTTTTGCTTCTCAACTGGAGTATAGGAAGGGATTGGATGCGTAGACCAAAAAGGAGCTAGATTGATAATTATGCCCCCATAAATATGATTGTTCAAATTTAATTACGGGTGTTTTGGTATATTTGCCTTTGGTTCAGGAGGTGTCAATGCAGGCCTCCTTAATTGGTAGTTTGCCGGCTTAGCAAGTTCTTCCGGGCTCTTTTTGAAGCCATGATCATGTGTAGATTGTTGCCTTGGTATATTTGCCTTCGGAGGAGGTACTCTTGAACGGATATCTTTGAACTCATCATGATCACGTGCCGATTGGCGTCCTGGTATACCTGCCTTTGGTTGTGGAGGTGCCTCTCCCCGAATATTTTTGAAGTCATGATCACGTGCCGATTGGCGTCTTGGTATATTTGCCTTAGGTTGTGGAGGTGCCTCTCCCCGAAAATCTTTAAAGTCATGATCACGAGTTATTTTGCTGCCTGGCATATTTGCCTTTGGTTGAGGAGGTGCCTCTCCCCGAATATCTTTGAAGTCATGATCACTTGCGGATTGGCGTCCTGGTATGTTTGCCTTTGGTTGAGGAGGAGTTAGTTGAGGCCGCCTTTGGTAGTTTGCCCCCTTCTTAGGCTCCTCCGGAATGGGAGGTAGACGGGGTAACTTTTGGCCGGCGGTTTTTCCATGATTTGTTCCGGTGATGGTGTTGCTACCATCTTCACCACCAGCTGCCATGCACGCAATCATTAAGAAAAAGAAATGTTAAAACAAAGTAGTAACCAAGCAAGTAATTAATACTCTTAACATTGAGCAATATAATCAAGAAAAATGCTAACAAAATATTCATATCTCTTGATACAACAAAAATAAAATAAAATAACATAAGAATCGGGCTCCATTATCTGATTAAGGAATTTGAGAGCCAAGATCATTCTATTACCTAGCAAAATTCTTGCTTGAATCGCCAATGAGAAAAGGAGGAAAAAGAAAATGAGAGACTTCATTTTTGGGAGTTGGAATTATGTAGCTCGACTTGAGTTTTGTATCGTATTTATAGCCTAAGAAAGCTAAAAATTATCAGGTTAAACATAGTAGAAGTGGTATTCAGATACGGCATTTGCTCCAAAACTAAGTTTTTTTAAGTTATGATACTCCTTAAGTGTTAAAATAATTTTTTTAATTAATTTACACATATTGATATAACAAACAAACAATACTAATTTTATTAGTTGCAGTTCATTCAAGCATGTAGTACGGGGGGATTTCGGTGAGTTACTCAAAATCATCTCCATGCATTCAATCACTTGGGGGTTAATTTTATTTATTTAAAATTTCTATACAAATTTACTTAAAATGAGTTTGGCGTGGATTATGATAATACGCAGAAACAATTTGGATTTTCTATCACTTATAATCTTTTAGGACATTTCCCGCAGAAGTCTTCTTTGGTTTACCCAAAATGCAGTGCTTATGTGGTTAATCAATCGTAAACTTCAATCATTTTTCCCATCTTGTGACAAAGTTCAAATCTATTATGTCAAACGTTGTAGCATATTATTAGGTAATACAAATACTTTCACGTTGCATTTTCAAAACAGTGGAACTCGTTAATAGATCGTAATTGTGACATAGCTGTGCGTAAGTTCAATTAGACTTGCTTTGTCAATTTAATACAACCCTTTAGTTAAGAAACGGCAAGGCTCGAGATTACTTCGTACAAATGAATACAAAACTTAACTAGAAAAATATAGTTGTGGTAGTTTTTTTTTTTTTTTGTGGCTTTGTTAAGTTCGTTTTAGTTTAGGATATAAATTTTATAACAAATCTTGAATAGTGAAACAATTTTGCAAAATATAATACTAGTTTGGATCCTACGCGCTTCGCACGTGCCCGATGTATGATGTAATTTAAAGTGTATAATATAAAAAGGCAATTCATACACATGTGTAGAATTACACATTAACAAAAAGAAAAAAACAAATTTACATGAATCAGGAAATAAAATCATATGTTTTCACTGTCTAAATTAATTTCATTAAAATTCACATACAAATCATATATATTTTTTTTTACATACAACTCATATTTATAAAGGTTACTCTAAACATAAAATTACCCACTAAAACAAATCATTTATACTTAGAAAAGCCACTCAAAATACCAACAGAAGAGCCATTGTACACCTGGACGTTAAGAATTTAAGATACAATAAGGTTAATTTCATCATTCTAAAGATAACCCTATAAAAGGAGAAAGAAAATACAATAAGGATCACTTGGGGTGAGGGTGAATCGATTCAGAGAAAAAAGAAAATAGAATAGTGGCAAATGTATTCCCTACCTCTTGGACATTGCACTTTTTTTGCTTAGTTGAAGAAAAATCCATCAAAAATTTGCAACGAAACACTTTCCCTCTTTTCAGTTTTTCTTAAATTTAATAAATCATTAAAACTGTTAAATTCATCACTAAAGTCATTCGATTTTTAGATTAAGAATTGAAGAGATTGCCCATGAACACTCCTTGATTGGCATTAATTAGAATAATAATCATATGTAAGTAATTAATATTAATTAAAATTAAATTATTTTTTATTCTTGATTGGTTACTCAAAGGATTACACCAAAACTTTGTGCAAACTCATTTTATATAATAATAATAATAATATTAATAATAATATTAATAATAATAATAATAATAGTAATAGATGGTAGATAGTAGATAATACCAAAAAAAAAAAAGAAGTTTGTCACTAGTTTTAGTTCAATTGTCATAAGTTTAGTCGATTGAAGGGGCTAAATGTTGCTATAGAAAACTATTAAGTCTATTTGACAGTTTTAACGAATTTTAAGGGTAAAAAATGAAATTCATCAAATTAATCGGAATATCACACGACTCAATACGCAGAAGCCACCTGTAATCTATGGTTGATTGATCAGAGGGATTTCACCAGGGAAACAGACCGATACGAACGGTGTCGTTTCAACTTTCCATGGCAGCTCCACTATAGAGATAAAGCACAATTTCTTTCTAAAACCAACTGATAATGGCGGCGCCGTTCCTCCGAAGCCTCCCGGTTTTCCGTCAAAGGCTCCTCCACCTCCACCACTGCCGCTCCACAATCAGCGCATTCACTCTCGGCCGGCCGTGGAGCACCGTCACCGAATCCACCCGACCCGACGATGATACTACCGCAACCTCCACCACCCAGAATGTTCCGGCGGTGAGTGCCAAAGAGATACCAAAGCACCACCCGAGGTTCGACGATCCGAATTACAGGAAGTGGAAAGATAAAGAAGCCCTAATATGGAGTGATATCGAGGACGTAACTTCCATCGTTAAAGAAATCCTCCATTCCGAAAGGTTCATTTCTGCGGGCTTTTGTTTTCTGGATTAATTTCATATTATGATTATTATTCTTTTTCTGAATTACTCTATGGTTTAACTTGTTCGAGTAACCTTTGATATTGAGTGCCTTTTGTACTCTTAACCACTTGAATCACTAGCTTGGTAGCTTGATTACTAATGAGTCTGTCAGTCTGCAAAAATACGATGGAGGGATTGAAAGTAATGGAAATGGGATTTATGTGAATGGCTTGTATGTGTCCTTGCTGAGCATGCAGAACATGTGTACTTAGTCATTTTATTGTGCTACTACTATGGTAGAGTTCTTGGTGCTTTCAGTTAGAAGTCTGAAGTCAAATTGTAGGGTAGGGAAATTCCAAATGAGGTATTTAAAATCCTGACCTAGTTAATGGACGAAAGGAGTATATTGTTATTCACAAATTGGATTTTTTTGAGGATGCTTGTCAAGCAATGCTGCTTTTCAGTAACGATAAGAAAGCCCAGACACGGTCATCGCGAGGATATTACGCTTATGGAAGTAGCCACATTGAGTCTTAGCTCCCTTTGATGGTTTTGCTTTGAATTTGGCCTATCTTAGTGTCACTTGGAATTAAGTCTTAGCTCCCTTGATGGTTTTGCTTTGAATTGGGCCTATCACTTGGAATGTTGCATGTTCAAGCAAATCCCCCTTTATACTCCTCGCCTTCTGCTGAAAATTTTAGGTATTTGCTGGTTAAGAATGGAAACTGTTTTTGGGTTGCCAATGCTAGAAGTTCATTGGTTTTGAAGTCTAATGCATTTTCTCATTCTTTTGCCTTCCGTGTGGAACTAATTTGACGGTACAGTGTCTTGATCGTGTTTCTATCATATGTTTTTGGTGATTTTCAGTCTTCAAACATATTAGGCTCTGTGCATATAACATAAATAGATGTCTCTCAAATTTTCACTTGGAAATTGTTCTTTATGTATTTCCATCTCCTTGTTTGAAACCCTTGCATGGTTGCTGAGATCCACTTGATCAGTGTTAAGTCTATCTTTGAATTATGCTCTGTTCATGTAATTGATTGTTCTTGGCTCATTTGTTTTAATCTTTTAGATATATGGATGGTGAACGACTTACTCCAGAAGATGAGAAAATTGTTGTAGAAAGACTTCTTGCTTATCATCCTCATTCTGACGATAAAATTGGGTGCGGTCTTGATTCCATCATGGTGAGTTGTATATTCAATGGTTTAGTTGATACTTATCTGTTTAATTGGATGGACGTAGACAAACTTCCCATGCTCTTCCGTCTGGTATATAGTTTGATTCTGGCATACGACTTTCTGTGGGACTTTGCATGATCACATCTTCATTAGTTTAAGCCATGGCGTTGTTTCTCTATGCTTTCTACATTGTGATGTTTGGATGTAAAGGTGACCTCTCTACAAGTCCCTGCACACTATTTTACCGCATGCTGCATGGAACTTGCATTTCTAGCAACATATACTTCTAAATAATTTATACTTCTGTTGAATCAAACTGGCTTCAGCAGCATATAGCCAGATACGTTTGGGTTTATTTGGAAATGTCTAAAACCTAAGTTATCACTGGATATTTTGCATTCACTGCCCGTGTAAGTTCATAACATTTTGACGTCAATTCAGGTCACCAATGGTTAATTTTGAAAATATATAATTCTGTTCTATCAATCTTAGAAAATGAGATACTTTTGTCTTTTAAGGATTTTCTAGGTAATTGGAGAGTAAATTTGTTTTGGGTGGGGAAACTAGTGTTAAGCTTGTGAGATAGTTTCAGTCATTTCTTTTTCTGTATCCTATCTCTTGATGGAGAAGATGCCGCTGATCTAGAGATAACCACGTCTGATAAGGCTTTGCACTGACTCTTTTTGTAACGCCTGTAGGCTAGGAGTATGAATACAACACCAGGTCCTTCCCAAGTGGGCATACTTTTCTGATTGGTACTCTTTAATGTCTGATGTCCTTAAGTTTTGATTATTTGCCCGCCTCAAATTTGGAGAAAAATTAGCATACCCATTACTTGGAAGCAGTTTGCTCGCTATTTGATTGCTGCAGTCAGCTTGTACTACTTTTTCACCAAGTGTATTAGTGAAGTTAATCTTTAAAGGAATTTGGTATTGATGAATTGCCCTTTATTTTTCAATTGTGAATAGGTGGATCGCCATCCCCAGTTTAGACGATCAAGGTGCCTCTTTGTTGTGAGAACTGATGGTGGATGGATTGACTTCTCCTACCAGAAGTGTCTGCGAGCTTACATTCGAGCTAAATACCCGTCTCATGCAGACAGATTCATAAAAGAACATTTCAAGCGTGGTAGTAATTAGGTTGCTGAATTTGCTTTACGTTTTGGATTTAGCTTTGCACAATGCAAATGATATCTTGATCGAAGCTGTATAGTTCGCTGATTTTTCAGTCTGTTCCATAACTTTCCTTTCAGCGATACAGGCTAAACCTCATTTTCCTTGTCAACACTGTCACAATGAGGTAGTTATCATTTATTTCAATGGCGGGCATGTTATGTTTGCTTGTTGTGGGACATAAGAAAAGCATTGAAACTAATTACTAGTATAATTTTGCAGATCACAACTCCTCTCTCTCCTTTGCTCTGTCTGGTTCACTGTGTCTGTTTACTTCTCGAGTTCCCATTATCTGAGTGATGGGGCAACCTTGTTGTTTACTTGTAAATGTATTCTTACATGGCCTGTGGTGACGAAATTAGAACCCTAAAACCTTGAGTTGGTCAGGTTAACACTTTGAAAATCCAGAACAGAGAAGAGGGTGAGAAGCAAAAGCGAAAAAATAATCAGCAAAATGGAGTCTTTCGCTCAAATTGTTGAGTGGTATGTGATCTAACAAGGTTCGTTTTTAAGAGGGGAGGACCCCGCTTACTCCAACCCAATAAGCCAGTAAAATAGTCAGAACCATCAGGCATACCCAATTGGAGAAATTGACCCACTATTCTCTTAAAGAAGATTATAATACAGAAGAAGGCCAGGTCAGCTGAATAGTCCACAACAATGCGGTGCCTTGGCGTGAGATGATTGTTTTAGACATTGGAAATCTTCAAAAAATGACTGGCAAAAAGAAACTGTGAGGCGTATGGAACTCCGAGGCCCAACACCAACAGAGCAGTTTACAGAACGAGAGACGTTTGGATTATCGAAGACTGTTGCTGTGTTGTTGTTGGTTGCCCCTTCTTTATTGTGTTTGCTGTATTGAGCAGCAAACCTCAGAAGATTGGAAAAACTAAAAAGCAGATATCAAATCCATCTTGCAAACAGCCAGCATGCCACAACGTTTGATAGCTTACCTTGAACAGTTAATGCCCTCTTTTAACAAGTTGGCCATTTCCAATTTTTTTTTTCTCTTCTTCTTCTTATTGAGTAAACCTATCACCCCTTTTTTTAAACGTTTTTATCATCCTTAATCATCGTAAGAAAGTAATGTAAAGTACTTGGATGGAGGACTAATCATCTCAAGACCAATGAATATCGATGATTTCATTCATACGGGCAGAGATGTGAACTGACGACATTTGCAGCTGGCCAGCCACCGCACTTCCCCAACCAGTTTCAGTTATATCATTTTGTCTCATCTTCTTCTATCAAGGAATTGGAGTTCATTTGCAAAGGAAAAATCTAATCAAATTGTTCCTATCTGTCGTATATTTCTACTTTGGTTAATTGTCTCCTTCCTTTACATTCATCCTACTAACTGTACACAGAGTGATGTTAATAGCACATGCAAAAGCCAGCAGTCAACATTTGCACTAATGAGCATAATTCCAAATTAATAATAATGTTTAGGGTCGTTTTTTGATAAGACAATCTTCAAATTCTCATTTCATTACTTCCTGAAAAGAGCCCCTGGTCGTCATTCTTTTGGTAGGAAACAAAAAATAAAAAATAAAAAAAAAATGTACCCACTTACTAGTTACTACAACTAGTAAATTATAATTATCATTTAAATTCAGACCATTTGATTAGATGGGACCAAACAATACCTAAAGAGAAGAGAGAAAATTTTTTAGAGAGCTGGAATGAAAGCTCTTCTCCCTTGTGTTCTTCCTCTACATCATCACTACATGCCATGATGATTGACAAGCTTTTGACATCATACATGATTGTACATTTTTTATTTTTTTTTTTTGGTTTCATGGGTTAACATTATTTGAAGACTTGTTCATAGAAGGGGTTGAAACTTGAATGGTCCCGTCACCTAAATAATACGTACGATTTCTACTGATAACCATGCATAAGGAAGGATGGAGATGAACATTTGAAAATAAAAAAGATATGGTTTTTTTTCTTTTCTTTTTTAAACACTCTTTTTTTTGGATTTCCAATGGCTGTGATTCAAATGTAGAGAAAGTTTGATACTTTATGTCTGACTAGAGTGATGAAGGCTTTGACCAATATGAACAAACAACATTGCTTTGTGTTATATTAGATGGTAGAAATGCAAAAAAGGAAAAATGATGATCATCATCATCATCTTCATTATGTACTCATCCATTGATCCGTATGACCGTAGCCCGCATCAATTTAATTACCTAGCAAAACATCCATGAATCATGATTAACAGCTCTGTTTATACTTTTAATTAAATATGTCTGCAGGTGTATTAGCTTCATGTTTTGAGGCTTTTGACAGAAAAAAGAAACACAGTAATTTATAATCAAATGGCAAAAAGAAATGAAAAGTGTAAATAAAGAGTCATGCATGCATCATCAACTACCTCATTGAACTTTTTGGTAAAGAGTTTCATCAACCAAAACAGCAAATGAATCGACTACATTAAGTGCTATGTATTGAGAGGATTTCGTTTGAGTGTGTGTTTTCTTTCTCTGTTCTGTTTCTTCTGTAGACTATACACTATAGTCACACAGAGGCATTGGAGATCGAGCCATAAAAGAAAAGGAAAGGGAGGGAAGATGAAGATGGCCAAAAATAAAAAATAAAAATAAAGCAAAGGGGGAAAAAAAAAAAAAGAAAAGAAAGAAAGCAACACATCATTGCAGAAAGCCCTACACTGCATCTATTTTGGCAAACAACAACTTGTACAGCTAGTATCATCATCATCCTATTCTTCACAAATTTTCTACTCCTATGTATAATAATAAATCCTTGGTGAAAATTTCCAACAGCATCCTTTGTTTTTACCCTTTTTAGATTTGTATACAAAGAGTATATATACACATACAAATCGGTTACGGTGGAATGACTATAATCACGTCGACTAAACAACAATAATCAAAGTCGTTGAATCATGATATTTCCATCGACATCGGAATGGTTATAACTGCTAGATTATTGATTGAATCATTCTGTCGATCGAGGTTATACAATTTTTCCTACATTACTCTAAAAATATCTTTGCTGAATTCTGGCTATAATAATACGTACCTTTTATTGGTACAATTTGGGCGGTAACAAAGCCTGAATAGTAAATTCGAATAAGCAGCAAAATGCAGACTGCACACAGAGTGAAAGTGAAAAAGAAAAATGAAGATTAAATGTAAGAAAGTGAATCTGAATCCTTCCAAAAATCAAAACTGATGCCCCATTCTATTATACTGTTTGAATTCTGGGAAAATCATTAAATAGAATTCCAAAAATAAAGAAGAAAACAAAAGTAAACAAAGTGTATTTTATTTGAGCTCAAAAATCTTCTTTGGACTTGTGGTTTTCTGCAAAAATAAACGCCGTAGAGTCTACTAAATGTGGTGGGTATAACTATAAACGCATGCAGAGACAGCTTTTGCTTTCTTCTCTTTTCTTTGGTGGAGAATTCTACGCTTTTGGTAAAGAAAAAGATGGGATTCATCCTTGTATGGGGATGACTATTCTCTCTACCCTTTTTCTTTTCTTTATATTTTTGGGGGCAATATCGTTTAAAGCTTGATGATTTAAAGAAAAGTTGGTGGTTCTAGATCAACTTTTGTTAATCCATCTTTTCTTACTTAATTTGGAATATTTGGACAACGAATATTCATGTAATCATAAATTAATTATGCGTGAAAAGAAGGGATCACGACGTTTTGGGATGTGAAAACAAGTTTAAAGAAAGTAGAGTTCAAGTATAATCAATTTAATGTAAAATGTGCTCCCTTAAAATTTGGTTTGTGATTTCTAATAACGTAATGGTTGAATTTCGATCCGAGTAATTGGTGGCAGTAATGGATTAAGTAGTGTGAAAACTGATACATGAGATGCTTATCAAAATCATAACAAGGTTCTTTCCTCCCTTTTTTTTCTTTGGAAAATTTGGACTAGGGACGGTAGACAGATCTAAATTAATAAAAGGGTATAACTCTTTTAGAATTTGGATTAGTGGTGATAATTTAATTTTAAAAAATTATAAAGTTTAAAATTTTGTCCTTTTACAGGATTGCCCTCATTTTTTATTATTTTTTTTTTTAAAAAAAGAACAAGATCTTTTGTTCTCTCAACTTCCCATTCCTAGCTTAGATTTTTGGATCCGATAAGCATACAAAATTGCTAATCGTAAGAAAAGAATCGCTGAACTCAGAAATAGATGCTTCTGGACCTTTTAGCACATTGCCCAGACCCTCTGCAATTAAGGTTAATAGTTTGAATGAGCTGAATTTGAAGAAGATAACAGTAGGAGAGTGCTGGATCATTTGGAATATATTCTGTCGAAATAAATTATTGATTCTACATAGAATATGATTTCAGACATGAGGGAGAAGGCCAAAAATGTTCATGAATTCATGTTGTAGCAGGGAAATGCTTAAGGTTGGAGTTGGAAAAAACTAGTTGGACGGAGTACTGAATGCAACAAACTTTGCAAACAGAACAGAGCTCCCATGACGCTTCACTTTTCTATTCAAACTTTATGGCCGATTATTTCTCATATCTTTGTGGTCATCATATGCAAGAAATATGAGATAATCTATTGTATTTTGTTAGTGTTGTTCCTAAAACAAGAAAAAAATGCCGCAACTTCACATTTTATGCGTAAGTCAAGTTATATCCTTTAATGTATAAATGTAGAAAGGATAACTCTGGTGATGAGCTTGCAACTTTGCTCGATCGTGTGTAATTTCGTACACCTCTTTTTGTTTTGTTTCTCATGGGCAGAATTTTAACATAAAAAAAATGTTGACACTGTAGTTTTCATGCTTGATTATAAAATTTTGATGGAAAGGTAATATAAATCCAATTTTAATATGTAGAGAATACATTTACAAAGTAAATAGTCACACTCTAATTTGATGAAATTTGAGATTGCGGAAATTGTACCATTAGATTTGAACGTAATGAAAGTATGAAACTCTAAAAGAAAGGGTAATTTGGTTACTGCATAAATATTTTGATTTTAAAATTTATGTAACTTAATTTACTACCCCTAATCCAAATTATGGAAGAGTTACACCACTTTTATTAATTTTGATCTTTCTTCCGCCTTTAATCTAAATTTTTCTTTTTTTCTTTTGGTACATTGTCCAAAGCCTGGAATATTTTATTACATTTCGGAAATAAATTACCTTAATAATCTCATAATATAAGTATAGTGAGTGTGTTTCCAACCGTCTTCGTAGTATAATATTACCTCTGTCTTTTAAGAAAATAGTCCACTAAAAGTTTCAAATGTATATTATATGTAGTGTAAATTTTAAAACTCAAGGTGGGCTATTTTTCTTAAGGGAGGAAGCAGTTTTTTTAATTTGCTAACAGTTTTAAAGAAAAAGGAAATGGAAACGAAGGTACGTACAATTTCGTAAACCCCCAAAACCATTAAATATGTCATCAGTGCAGTAGTACTTGCAAGTCTGTAGATACAGAATATTACAGAGTAATGAACTGGCTGGATAATTACGTAATTATGCTGTTTTCCTCTACGTGGCACTACCTAAGTGGTTTGAACAACCTCAAATGTTCTGCAATTACAACAATAATAATTGGCCAAAATGGTACACTGACAGTAATTTTTATTTTGCTGTCATTGTTTCAAGATTTGTGCAAATCATCAAGACTAGGGACTAGTTATTAGTCTTCAATTACTTTTTTCTTTTCTTTTTTTTTTTTATTTGTCTTTCACCTGTTTGTTGGCTCTATTTTAATTGTTTTCAAACTCCGCCGAACAAAATTAGTCAGAATGTAATATGTGTTTATTTTGATATCTCGTTATTTTAACACAATCAAAAAATTTTAATAAAGCTCGTTCTGATTCTCATAAATATGGAGAGTTTACCATATTATATATGAAGCCTCATATGCTCGTAAAACCCTATTGCGTTAATGCTAAATTATCATGTTGTAATTACTGATTAGTTCGTGCAAAGTAAATTTAGGCGATTAAAGTACACTAGAAAATCAATTTTTTTAAAGAGGAGACTAATGATGTCTTAGGTTTGGCCTTTTGACCGTAGGAATTTACCAAACATAAAATAAGTTGCTGTTGTCCAAAACCGATAAGACAGCAAATCAGTGTATCACTTTTTTGTTCTTTCTCAATTTCTGGGACCCGTTTTTACCCGTACGTAAATCCGCCAAATTACGTTAAAATCAATTTTGTTTTTGATCCATCACCGGACCCACGTAACAACTAACCCGGACCGTAGATTCGTATCAAACCTCGACTCCAAAAACTCGAACAAAGTCATCCTAGTACAGAGGTCTAGATTGATTCCATGAGCTGCGTAACAGGTTACCAAAGCTTCTTTCCCCAATAAGTTGGTCTCTTCAGTTAATCGGGCCCCCAATATGTATTTAGCTCGTTTAGAAGAATCACGTGTCTACTTATTGTGCTACAAATTAAAAAAGCCCAAAGCCCATAGAAAAAATAAAAATAAAATAAAATCTACAGGAGGGTTATAATACATTGGTCATTTCTCATTTCCCATTCGTCCCTACAGAGCTCCCTCTTTCATTTTTTTGCTCTGAAAGACTCTCCAAAACTCCAAAAAATACAGAGAGGGAGAGAGGGAGAGGGAGATGGCTCAAGCCATTTCTCATAGGCTATTTTTGTTTCTTTATCTTCAAAATCCAATCTTGGAATGAAAAATCTCAACATTGAAGGTTTAGATATATTAGTACTTTTTTTTCCCTGCTGAATATGGCTTATCAGTATCAAAATAAAGTAAAGTTCCCATCTTTATTAGATGCTTTGTACTGTGATGAAGAAGAAGAGCAGTATTCCATCTCTGAAGATGATGATGAACAGAGTAGCCAATGTGTGAATGAGGGTGATGATGAATCTGATGAATCTCCATCATTGCTGCTGCTGGAAGAAGAAGAATGGTTGTGGGGTGAGGAAGAGTTGTGCATCTTGTTTAAAAAGGAACAAGATTATGACTTTGGTAATAACAATGGGTTTTCCGGGTTGAATTTGAATCCATCTCTTCTGGTGGTTGAGGCCAGATGTAATGCTGTGGGGTGGATGCTGAAAGTTGTGGGTTTTTACTCCTTTTCTGCTAAAACTGCTCTTCTTGCTGTAAATTTCTTGGATCGGTTTCTGTTTAGCTCTCAATCCCACAATGATGGCAGGCCATGGATGTTTCAACTTGCTGCTGTGGCTTGCCTTTCTCTTGCTGCCAAAGTTGAGGAGACTCAAGTTCCCCTTCTGTTGGACTTCCAAGTACGATTATTATTGTTGTTCATTATACTGTAATAAAGGCTGAATCTTTTCAGTATAAGTACTCATCAGCTTTTATTGCTGGTCCTAACAAAATAGACAGTTTTATTAACATGGGTTTTTTTTTTATTTTTGGTTTTGATTCGATTTTGGTGTAGGTGGAAGAATCGAAATATGTGTTCGAGGCAAAGACTATACAGAGAATGGAGATGTTGGTTCTGTCAACTCTTCAATGGAAAATGAACCCTGTGACCCCACTTTCGTTTCTTGAGTTTATGATGAGGAGATTAAGATTAAAGAATCACATGTATTGGGAATTCCTTCGAAGATGCGAGTGTCTTCTGCTTTTCATCATTTCCGGTAAAGCTCTTCAATTTTTCCACATTTTGGTTTTACTACACTTTCAGCCTGCAGTACATGCATCTTGGTTTTCTTATTATCCTAATATATAATATGTATTTATGTCTTAGCTGGATAATAATGATGTTTTTTTTTTTTACCAATTTCAGATTGCAGATTCTTGTCTTATCTTCCTTCTGTTATGGCCACTGCAACAATGTTGCATATTGTGAGCAATGTGGAGCCCTGTCTCACAGTTGAATACCAAGACCAACTTTTGGGCATTCTTGGCATCAACAAGGTTTGAACTTTTGCTCCTTAATCCATCAAACAATGGTTTTTTTTTTTCATTTTTTTTTCGGTATATTCTTAATTGGTTTTTAGTTTTTCTCAAATGTTTTTTTTTGTATAATGAAACAGGACAAAGTGGAGGATTGCTTGAGGCTAATCTCAGAAGTGGCATCAAACTTGAACTTCTACTCATCCAACAAACGAAAGTTCAGATCTTTGCCCGGAAGTCCAAAAGGGGTGATGGATCTGTCATTCAGCTCAGAGAGTTCCAACGATTCATGGTCATTTGCAGCATCATCAGTTTCGTCATCACCAGAGCCATTATCTAAGAAGAACAGAGGTTCAAAATGAAGACTTAAAACTAGAATGATGGTTTTTTTTTTTTGGCCTGATGTCAACAACCATGGAAGCAAATCTTTTCCAGATATCGACCCTTCGCCGTCCCCCTGAATGGATCCACACAAAAAATTCTCCACCCTGAAGGCCTCTGGACCATTGACGAGTCTCTCTCTAATAGTCTAATCTCTATAATCATCAATAATCAAAATTTTTTTCCCCTTTAATGTTAAATTGCTCACCATCTCTATGGTTAATTCTTAGCCTCTGGAAGTAGAGATGGTGAGCATTTTATCCGGATGGAGACCAAATGTCAATTGTCAAAAAGTACTTGAAAAGAAACTGTTTATCAGAGAGACTAGAAACAAGGGAAAACGAAGGAATGGGAAACCATTATCTCTCCAATTCAAAGTTAATTTCATTTCATTCGTAAAATGCTCTCATGAACACATCAAATCAGCGGCATCATGAATAATAATTGTAAAAATTCAAACATCATACTATTTCGCTTTTTTTTTTTGGCTTGATGCATCATGGCTGGTCATCATGGAAGTCTTTTAATACAAAAGATTTGATGGAAATCTACTGCGATTCTTTCAACATGGAGGAGAAGGACGGGTGTCTGCAAGAAAGAAAAATAAATAAATAAATAAATGAGAGGGAAAGAAGGTGAAATTTTGTTTTGATATGTGGAATGATAGACAAGCACGTTGTCGGCCATTGGCCATTTTCTCGAGGTTAGATTTGCAATTGCTATTGCTATCATATGGTTTGGTTTGACCTCCTTACAGTGGTTTTTTTCTTTTGATTACCTGCGACTGCGATATTATAGAGACGGGTTTGAAAATTTAGGAGGAATGAATGTGATTGGAGTGAGTAATTTCGCAATCTCATAATTTGAATGGACCATTCTTCCAATGTATATGCATGGGAATATTATTCGAATTTGATAAGCTATCTTGATTACATTGCGACTTATAAACAGTCGAAGTACACTGAAGGGGAAAATTATTGTTGGCATGCCCCCGGATTGGTTTCAAACAAACCTCAAGGTTTTATCAGTTTGTAGAGCATACTTTTTAAATTATTGTAACCATGATCATTGAGTTTTCGAATTCTTTTCCAGCTGATCAATGAGCTTCATTCATGTTCAACGTATTATATGGACACTTCTCGCTTTTGAGAAATTATTCCTTTCATGTAACAACACAATTTACCTAATCAAATTTACCCAAACATTCGTCATCTGTACATTGTATCGATTTCAACTTTTACCTCTTTTGTTCCGAAGGCCTTTTACTGATGCAACATTTGACCATGATCTCGCGTTCTTCTTAGCTGTTCTTCATTAGGGTTTGGGTGGAAATGTAAAGCACATTGCAAGTACCAAAAGGAAAAAAAAATGTTTATGTTGATATCCATCATTTAGGAAAAGTTGTCAACTGATGTCCAACTCTATTTGCTACAAATTCGACTCTATACATTGACTTGTCCAAATTGTGATTAACTATTATAACCGGTTTTTACGGGACGATTAAAAATTAATAATTGCTTAAAATAATTTGATTGATATATTACAAGATCGAGATATAGACCGACAATAATATACTTCAACCACGGTTTTAAACTAACCATGAGTCATGTAAGCATTAGCACTTAGAAGAAGTTTGCAAGTACTTTGCTGTCGTGCTAAATAATATGGTTTAAAACTTTGTATAACATGTCAAAGTTTTCAAGGATGTTCAAATTCGAATCAACTCTATACCTCATCAAATAAGATGCATAAGAAAATTTTCCTGTCTTTAGGTACGTAAAGTACAATTTCTAGTGAACAACACATTTTCTCAATAATCCATACAAAACCTACATTAGATCTTTCTTTTAAATATAGGGGGTCGACAATGTTTGTGAGTTGGACTGCGAGAGACAGCGACTTTGTTGGAAAACCACACAATCACAAATTTCAAACTCAAACCATTTTTGTAAACATTCGATTAATAATAAGAGTGTCGTTCACCTATTCAATAACCTAAGAGAGCTTAGACCCACTAAACTAGAGATCTTGTTTTAAGTTAGTAGTAATAATATAAAAGTTTCTTTAGGTCATTGTTGACTCATTCTTGTATCTACCAAAATATTGTCTTTTTACTCTTAATAGTCAGGCCAATCAGGTCGTCAAGTTGAGAACGTTTAAGCAACGGAACCATCAACTTAAATTTATTATTTTTTATTTTTTTAACTGAGTTGGGAAGAGAATAAAGGGCATATAATCACATGAATAGTTGGTGTTTTTCTTTTTTTCCCGTTTCGTTAAAGAGATGAGATCTATCATCTAACGTACATATTTTGTTATTTACTAGTTTATAAATATTACTTCTTCCATTTCAAATAAAAACCATTAGTATTATTTTGTTATTGTAATTTTTTGACGTAACACCATTTTGGAACAGATACAATATATTCTGACTTCACATGTAAATTAATGTTCACATTGTAGTTTGTTGAGGATAATCGCATAACAATTACGAAGACACATCTCAGTCATTAGTGAAACATCATAGGCTCGTGAAACAAAGCATTCTTGTGCAGAAATGGTGAATAAAAAATAGAAATAAAAAGAAAAAAATCATCATCCATCTAATTAATTAAATCTCCATAGATATATGCACTTAAGCACCCAAAGACACTCACAAAACGACTTCACTGTACTTTATATAAACCTCACTTTTAAAACTCCAATAAACTAGTGTATGTACCTACTAATTTGGCCCCATTTATTCTCCTGAACTTATAAATATATTAACCCGGCTCTTGGTGTCCAAATTCGTATGGACTTAAACTTGTCCCAAAGTCTATTATTGCTACTTATATTATTGTTAGTTGTTACACAAGCTAGCTACAGCTCTTTTTACATAGCTAGCGTGAATGACGGAGTGTGTGTCGTTTGAACATATTTATTTCCAGTATCATTTTTATCGATCTCTAGGCAAAACAAAAGCACCAAAAAAAAAAAATGAAAATAAAAAGTAATACATGTCTTTGGTCTTGAGTCTTGACTCTTTCAAACGCAGCAGAGCAGCACTGCGCTCCTGTCGCTATATAATAGTAGTTTCAACTTTCAATTCTCGAGCTATTTGCCTAAGTATTTGATTTCACAAAAGCGTGCTACACTTTCTTGTCTCCGTCATGTGAAGTTGTCTAAATATTTCTAACAAACAACAACTAGGTGATTACAATGCGGCATACCTCCTTCCGTTCCAGGAGAACTAATCCACGTCGTAATGCCTGGATTATATATATTATTTTTAATATAATTTACAAATCACAATGTGAACTATTTTTATACATAAGAAAAACTAACTTCATTGAGTGATATCTTTAAAAGAAAAAAATTTCCCGATATCAGTCAAAAAATAATAATAGGGCTGCTACTGTAATAGTCCACATAACGCTTATTGTATTATTGATAGGTCGCATGTTCAAGTCATCAAGAGGTAAATGATGAAAAAGAAAAATTTAGGGGGGTTACTATTCTTAATTAATTTCTTTTATCATATCCTTGTCAGTTTTATTTATAACAATCAATTTTGTAGAACTAGAATAGTACTCACAAAGTGAAATTATAAATTAACCTAAGAAAGGTAGCATAGAAGGGAGCAAGTGTTTTGAAGATAATTAACGTGTAAGAAGTTGGACAAAGAAAATTAATCAAGTAGTATTAGCTACATTACGATCACTAGAAAGGACATAAAGGGTTTACTTAAGGGAACCTTAAACAAAAGGGTCAACAATTAAAGGATGTGAAGTTGGACAGAATGTTAAAATGGATCGAACAAAATCATTATTTATTTTACTTTATTTACTTAAAAATACTCCCTCCGTCCTATAATTATTGTCCAGTTTTACTAAAATGAAAAATTTTATTTTTAGTCAAACTTAACTATATTTTACCTTGAACAACCTGATATACCCCTACATAAGTAATTGTTTAACCACAGATTTTATGGATAATGTTTTTTACTAAAGACAAATGAGTAACTTGATCCATAAAAAGTTAAATTGGACAATAATTTTGGGACAAAATTTTTTAGGTAAAGTGGACAATAATTATGGGACAGAGGGAGTAATTATTTTGAATAATTATATTGGGAAGAAAGAATGTATCATAGTGTATTTTTTTGGTTACGAAGATCGATTTCATCGTATTTCAACTCAAAAAGAAAAAAAAGGATACAAGACAAATGATAACATGTGGATTGCTGTGATCACAATTCACAAGAGTGAAATGATATAAGCTAGAAAGAGTTGGTTCCAGTTAATATCTTCTCCCTCTTTTCTTTTTTTTTTTTCCCCCTTTTAATTTTATATGGTGGACAGTGCCATACTTTTTCTACCTTTGTTGGGTCATTCTTTTGACCTTATGAACAGTCCCTTTTGTTTCAATAATTACCCACAAATTCAGCTTACTTAGATTAAGTTATTAAGGTTAGTGGAACCAGTGATGCTACATATTATAGCCATATGTTATCTTTTTTCATAAAAAAGTGGAACAAAAATAATTATGATGAAAATTCTCAACGTGGAAAATTATTACACATTTCACGTAAATTTCTACTATTTGCCTCATCATTTTAGATCGCCATTAACTCACCTCCTGAATTAGGATACATTTGTTTCTGATCATGCATGCATGCTAATTAATGTGGGTTTAAGCATTATTGCTTTTGCACAGGAAAAAAAAAACAAAAGAAAGAAAGGGAAAAGAGCTATTGGAATCAGAATAAGAGAAAAAGAAAAAGAGGTATGAAAAGGGTAGAAATTTTATTTTAATAGGAAAAAAAAAAGCAGCAAAGGTTGATGATAATAAATTTGGAAAAAATTTAATTAATTATTAATAATCTTATATATGATCCAGATCCACCATAACTTTCAGTAAAAAGTCTCTTATGTACGAATATTATTTAGCTAAAGTCAATAAAGCAAAGCGGTAACTCTGGAATATAATTCAAAAGTTACAAGTATATGTCCAAACTCCAAATTCCAAAGGCTAAAGTCAGTGTGAATTTTACTGCAAGTTGTACTCCTGCTATATAGTCAGCATGTACTCACTAGTCTGTACTTTCTAGAGGAAAAACTAAAAGGTAAAAAAAGCTCAATATGGCATTTTACTTTCACCCCGCCAGAAAAAGTAAGATAAAGTAGTATACGTTTTTTAAGTATATATAATTATATTATACACATTTGGTGTTCGAATCCACTATAACTCACGATAATAATCTATATCACATTCGAAGTAGTAACTAAATTAGCGTAATACAATATCATTCGGACCAAGTGATTGTTGATTAAATAGTCTACGTATTTATGAGTTAATATTATTAAGAGTTCTGATGATCGGCAGTTTTTTTTTTATATAGTTTTGTGAAATTTTTAGTATCTCCATGTGATTAGGACTGAATGTCAAAACTGAAGGAGGAATGTGAACTGGAGGATATATTATTAGTATTCAAAACACAACAAAAGGCCTCAATAAATGTCCTCAAGATTGATGAAAGCCAAAAATATAAGATATAGCACTGTGCCAATGCACATGTTGAGTGAAAGAAAGACCGCAAGGACGAAGACTCATTTTGTACATCCAGACATAAAGCTCTGGAACTTGGCTCCAAATTCCTTTTTTTTTTTTTTTTAACTTCTTTTTCTTCTGCAATGTTTACAGTATAAAAACAACGTTGGTAAAGTTTGCCATTATGCTTAATTATTCAAACGTTCACTAAATAAAGAAGCAAATTATTATGCCTCGCGAGCTTTGGCGAATCGACATCGTAATTTATTGTAGAATTTAGAATTTTACGGATCAAATTATCACTCACTTCTTGTACACTAGTTTTATATATATTAAATTATGTAAAACTAGTGTTTATAGATCGTCAACTTAGATGTATAGAATCATCATTTGTAAATACTACGATGCCATTTTTGTTAAAACGT